CCAAAGGGGTACCATCACAGATTTCGGGCGATTTATCCGAAATGCAATTTTCTTTCGATTCTGGAGGATAAAGATCACGGAATCAGGCCGAGGCTATTCTTCACCGATAATGAAGTCTATTGATCCTATTCTCCAAGGATGATAAGTCCGTTAAGCATCGGTTTGGGCCAATTTATTTTCGGTTGGCATTTTCGTAATTTCTTGGGCGACGAAAGGCCATTTTCTTTGGATATTGAATGCTACAGATCACGGATTCGGCGTGAGGCTATTCTCCAACGATGATTGAGGCCATTAAGCACCGATTTGGGCGGATTTATTCCGGGTCAATTTTTGGCAGATTCCAAAGGGGTACCATCACAGATTTCGGGCGATTTATCTAAAATGCAATTTTCTTTCGATTGTGGAGGATACAGATCACGGAATCAGGCCGAGGCTATTCTTCACCGATAATGAAGTCTATTGATCCTATTCTCCACGGATGATAAGTCCGATAAGCATCGATTTGGGCCAATTTATTTTCGGATGGCATTTTCGTAATTTCTTGGGCGACGAAAGGCCATTTTCTTTGGATATTGAATGCTACAGATCACGGATTCGGCCTGAGGCTATTCTCCAACGATGATTGAGTCCATTAAGCACCGATTTTGGCGGATTTATTCCGGGTCAATTTTTGCCAGATTCCAAGGGGGTATCATCACAGATTTCGGGCGATTTATCCGAAATGCAATTTTCTTTCGATTCTGGAGGGTACAGATCACAGAATCAGGCCGAGGCTATTCTCCACCGATAATGAAGTCTATTGATCCTATTCTCCACAGATGATAAGTCCGTTAAGCATCTATTTGGGCCAATTTATTTTCGGATGGCATTTTCATAATTTCTTGGGCGACGAAAGGCCATTTTCTTTGTATATTGAAGCCTACAGATAACGGATTCGGCCTGAGGCTATTCTCCAACGATGATTGAGTCCATTAAGCACCGATTTGGGCGGATTTATTCAAGGTCAATTTTTCCAAGGGGGTACCATCACAGATTTCGGGCGATCTGTCCGAAATGCAATTTTCTTTCGATTCTGGAGGGTATAGATCACGGAATCGGGCCGAGGCTATTCTCCACCGATAATGAAGTCTATTGATCCTATTCTCCACAGATGATAAGTCCGTTAAGCATCTATTTGGGCCAATTTATTTTCGGATGGCATTTTCATAATTTCTTGGGCGACGAAAGGCCATTTTCTTTGTATATTGAAGCCTACAGATAACGGATTCGGCCTGAGGCTATTCTCCAACGATGATTGAGTCCATTAAGCACCGATTTGGGCGGATTTATTCAAGGTCAATTTTTCCAAGGGGGTACCATCACAGATTTCGGGCGATCTATCCGAAATGCAATTTTCTTTCGATTCTGGAGGGTATAGATCACGGAATCGGGCCGAGGCTATTCTCCACCGATAATGAAGTCTATTGATCCTATTCTCCACAGATGATAAGTCCGTTAAGCATCTATTTGGGCCAATTTATTTTCGGATGGCATTTTCGTAATTTCTTGGGCTACGAAAGGCCATTTTCTTTGTATATTGAAGCCTACAGATAACGGATTCGGCCTGAGGCTATTCTCCAACGATGATTGAGTCCTTTAAGCACCGATTTGGGCTAATTTATTCCGGGTCAATTTTTGGCAGATTCCAAAGGGGTACCATCACAGATTTCGGACGATATATCCGAAATGCAATTTTCTTTCGATTCTGGAGGCTACAGATCACGGAATCAGGCCGAGGCTATTCTTCACCGATATTGAAGTCTATTGATCCTATTCTCCATGGATTATAAGTCCGTTAAGCATCGATTTGGGCCAATTTATTTTCGTATGGGATCTTCGTAATTTCTTGTGCGACGAAAGGCCATTTTCTTTGTATATTGAAGGCTACAGATCACGGATTCGGCCTGAGGCTATTCTCCAACGATGATTGAGTCCTTTAAGCACCGATTTGGGCGGATTTATTCCGAATCAATTTTTGGCAGATTCCAAAGGGGTACCATCACAGATTTCGGGCGATTTATGCGAAATGCAATTTTCTTTCGATTCTGGAGGATACAGATCACGGAATCAGGCCGAGGCTATTCTTCACCGATAATGAAGTCTATTGATCCTATTCTCCAAGGATGATAAGTCCGTTAAGCATCGATTTGGGCCAATTTTATTTTCGGATAGCATTTTCGTAAGTTCTTGGTCGACGAAAGGCCATTTTTTTGTATATTGCAGGCTATCGATCACGGATTCGGCCTGATGCTATTCTCCAACGATGATTGAGTCCTTTAAGCACCGATTTGGGCGGATTTATTCCGAATCAATTTTTGGCTGATTCCAAAGGGGTACCATCACAGATTTCGGGCGATTTATCCGAAATACAATTTTCTTTTGATTCTGCAGTCTACAGATCACGGATTCAGGCCGAGGCTATTCTCCACCGATAATGAAGTCTATTGATCCTATTCTCCAAGGATGATAAGTCCGTTAAGCATCGATTTGGGCCAATTTTATTTTCGGATAGCATTTTCGTAAGTTCTTGGGCGACGAAAGGCCATTTTCTTTGGATATTGAAGGCTACAGATCACGAATTCGGCCTGAGGCTATTCTCCAACGATGATTGAGTCCATTAAGCACCGATTTGGACGGATTTATTCCGGGTCAATTTTTGGCAGATTCCAATGGGGTACCATCACAGATTTCGGGCGATTTATCCGAAATGCCATTTTCTTTCGATTCTGGAGGCCGCAAATCACGGAATCAGGCCGAGGCTATTCTTCACCGATAATGAAGTTTATTGATCCTATTCTCCACGGATGATTAGTCCGTTAAGCATCGATTTGGGCCAATTTATTTTTGGATGGCATTTTCATAATTTCTTGGGCGACGAAAGGCCATTTTCTTTGAATATTGAAGGCTACATATCAAGGGTTCGGCCTGAGACTATTCTCCGACGATGATTGAGTCCATTAAGCACCGATTTGGGCGGATTTATTCTGGGTCGATTTTTGGCAGATTCCAAAGGGGTACCATCACAGATTTCAGGAGATTTATCCAAAATGCAATTTTCTTTCGATTCTGGAGGCTACAGATAACGGAATCAGGCCGAGGCTATTCTCCACCGATTATGAAGTCTATTGATCCTTTTCTCCATGGATTATAAGTCCGTTAAGCATCGATTTGGGCCAATTTATTTTCAGATGGCATTTTCGTAATTTCTTGGGCGACGAAAGGCCATTTTCTTTGTATATTGAAGCCTACAGATCACGGATTCGGCATGAGGCTATTCTCCAACGATGATTGAGTCCTTTAAGCACCGATTTGGGCGGATTTATTCCGGGTCAATTTTTGGCAGATTCCAAAGGGGTAACATCACAGATTTCGGGCGATTTATCCGAAATGCAATTTTCTTTCGATCCTGGAGGATACAGATCACGGAATCAGGCCGAGGCTATTCTTCACCGATAATGAAGTCTATTGATCCTATTCTCCACGGATAATAAGTCTGATAAGCATCGATTTGGGTCAATTTATTTTCGGTTGGCATTTGCGTAATTTCTTGGGCGACGAAAGGCCATTTTCTTTGGATATTGAAGCCTACAGATCACGGATTCGGCCTGAAGCTATTCTCCAACGATGATTGAGTCCATTAAGCACCGATTTGGGCAATTTATTCCGGGTCAATTTTTGACAGATTCCAAAGGGGTACCATCACAGATTTCGGGAGATTTATCCAAAATGCAATTTTCTTTCGATTTTGGAGGCTACAGATAACGGAATCAGGCCGAGGCTATTCTCCACCGATTATGAAGTCTATTGATCCTTTTCTCCATGGATTATAAGTCCGTTAAGCATCGATTTGGGCCAATTTATTTTCGGATGGCATTTTCGTAATTTCTTCGGCGACGAAAGGCCATTTTCTTTGTATATTGAAGCCTACAGATCACGGATTCGGCCTGAGGCTATTCTCCAACGATGATTGAGTCCATTAAGCACCGATTTGGGCGGATTTATTCTGGGTCGATTTTTGGCAGATTCCAAAGGGGTACCTTCACAGATTTCGGGAGATTTATCCAAAATGCAATTTTCTTTCGATTCTGGAGGCCGCAAATAACGGAATCAGGCCGAGGCTATTCTTCACCGATAATGAAGTTTATTGATCCTATTCTCCACGGATGATAAGTCTGTTAAGCATCGATTTGGGCCAATTTATTTTCGGATGGCATTTTCATAATTTCTTGGGCGACGAAAGGCCATTTTCTTTGAATATTGAAGGCTACATATCAAGGGTTCGGCCTGAGACTATTCTCCGACGATGATTGAGTCCATTAAGCAATTATTTGGGCGGATTTATTCTGGGTCGATTTTTGGCAGATTCCAAAGGGGTACCATCACAGATTTCGGGAGATTTATCAAAAATGCAATTATCTTTCGATTCTGGAGGCTACAGATAACGGAATCAGGCCGAGGCTATTCTCCACCGATTATGAAGTCTATTGATCCTTTTCTCCATGGATTATAAGTCCGTTAAGCATCGATTTGGGCCAATTTATTTTCGGATGGCATTTTCGTAATTTCTTGGGCGACGAAAGGCCATTTTCTTTGTATATTGAAGCCTACAGATCACGGATTCGGCATGAGGCTATTCTCCAACGATGATTGAGTCCTTTAAGCACCGATTTTGGCGGATTTATTCCGGGTCAATTTTTGGCAGATTCCAAAGGGGTACCATCACAGATTTCAGACGATTTATCCGAAATGCAATTTTCTTTCGATTCTGGAGTATACAGATCACGGAATCAGGCCGAGGCTATTCTTCACCGATAATGAAGTCTATTGATCCTATTCTCCACGGATAATAAGTCTGATAAGCATCGATTTGGGCCAATTTATTTTTGGTTGGCATTTTCGTAATTTCTTGGGCGACGAAAGGCCATTTTCTTTGGATATTGAAGCCTACAGATCACGGATTCGGCCTGAGGCTATTCTCCAACGATGATTGAGTCCATTAAGCACCGATTTGGGCGATTTATTCCGGGTCAATTTTTGGCAGATTCCAAAGGGGTACCATCACAGATTTCTGGCGATTTATCTAAAATGCAATTTTCTTTCGATTCTGGAGGATACAGATCATGGAATCAGGCCGAGGCTATTCTTCATCGATAATAAAGTCTATTGATCCTATTCTCCACGGATGATAAGTCCGATAAGCATCGATTTGAGCCAATTTATTTTCGGTTGGCATTTTCGTAATTTCTTGGGCGACGAAATGCCATTTTCTTTAGATATTGAAGGCTACAGATCACGGATTCGGCCTGAGGCTATTCTCCAACGATGATTGAGTCCATTAAGAACCGATTTGGGCGGATTTATTCCGGGTCAATTTTTGGCAGATTCCAAAGGGGTACCATCACAGATTTCGGGCGATTTATCCGAAATGCCATTTTCATTTGATTCTAGAAGCTATAGATCATGGAATCAGGCTCAGGCTATTCACCACCAATAATGAAGCCCATTGATCCTATTCTCCACGGATGATAAGTCCGTTAAGCATCGATTTGGGCTAATTTATTTTCGGATGGCATATTCGTAATTTCTTGGGCGACGAAAGGCCATTTTCTTTGGATATTGAAGGCTACAGATCACGGATTCGGCCTGAGGCTATTCTCCAACGATGATTGAGTCCATTAAGCACCGATTTGGGCGATTTATTCCGGGTCAATTTTTGGCAGATTCCAAAGTGGTACCATCACAGATTTTGGGCGATTTATCCGAAATGCCATTTTCTTTCGAGTTTGGAGGCCACAGATCACGGAATCAGGCCGAGGCTATTCTTCACCGATAATGAAGTCTATTGATCCTATTCTCCACGGATGATAAGTCTGTTAAGCATTGATTTGGGCCAATTTATTTTCGGATGGCATTTTCGTAATTACTTGGGCGACGAAAGGCCATTTTCTTTGGATATTGAAGGCTACCTATCAAGGGTTCGTCCTGAGACTATTCTCCGACGATGATTGAGTCCCTTAAGCACCGATTTGGGCGGATTTATTCTGGGTCAATTTTTGGCAGATTCCAAAGGGGTACCATCACAGATTTCGGGCGATTTATCCAAAATGCAATTTTCTTTCGATTCTGGAGGCTAGAGATCACAGAATCAGGCCGAGGCTATTCTCCACCGATTATGAAGTCTATTGATCCTTTTCTCCCTGGATTATAAGTCCGTTAAGCATCGATTTGGGCCAATTTATTTTCGGATGGCATTTTCGTAATTTCTTGGGCGACGAAAGGCCATTTTCTTTGTATATTGAAGCCTACAGATCACGGATTCGGCATGAGGCTATTCGCCAATGATGATTGAGTCCTTTAAGCACCGATTTGGGCGGATTTATTCCGGGTCAATTTTTGGCAGATTCCAAAGGTGTACCATCACAGATTTCGGGCGATTTATCCGAAATGCAATTTTCTTTCGATTCTGGAGGATACAGATCACGGAATCAGGCCGAGGCTATTCTTCACCGATAATGAAGTCTATTGATCCTATTCTCCATGGATAATAAGTCCGATAAGCATCGATTTGGGCCAATTTATTTTCGGTTGGCATTTTCGTAATTTCTTGGGCGACGAAAGGCCATTTTCTTGGATATTGAATGCTACAGATCACGGATTCGGCCTGAGGCTATTCTCCAACGATGATTGAGTCCATTAAGCACCGATTTGGACTGATTTATTCCGGGTCAATTTTTGGCAGATTCCAAGGAGGTACCATCACAGATTTCGGGCGATTTATCCAAAATGCAATTTTCTTGCGATTCTGGAGGGTACAGATCACGGAATCGGGCCGAGGCTATTCTCCACCGATAATGAAGTCTATTGATCCTATTCTCCACAGATGATAAGTCCGTTAAGCATCGATTTGGGCCAATTTATTTTCGGATGGCATTTTCGTAATTTCTTGGACGACGAAAGTCCATTTTCTTTGTATATTGAAGCCTACAGATAACGGATTCGGCCGGAGGCTATTCTCCAACGATGATTGAGTCCTTTAAGTACCGATTTGGGCGAATTTATTCTGGGTCAATTTTTGGCAGATTCCAAAGGGGTACCATCACAGATTTCGGGCGATATATCCGAAATGCAATTTTCTTTCGATTCTGGAGGCTACAGATCACGAAATCAGGCCGAGGCTATTCTCCACCGATAATGAAGTCTATCGATCCTATTCTCCATGGATTATAAGTCCGTTAAGCATCGATTTGGGCCAATTTATTTTCGTATGGCATTTTCGTAATTTCTTGGGCGACGAAAGGCCATTTTCTTTGTATATTGAAGGCTACAGATCACGGATTTGGCCTGAGGATATTCTCCAACGATGATTGAGTCCTTTAATCACCGATTTTGGCGGATTTATTCCGAATCATTTTTTGGCTGATTCCAAAGGGGTACCATCACAGATTTCGGGCGATTTATCCGAAATGCAATTTTCTTTTGATTCTGCAGTCTACAGATCATGGATTCAGGCCGAGGCTATTCTCCACCGATAATGAAGTCTATTGATCCTATTCTCCAAGGATGATAAGTCCGTTAAGCATCGATTTGGGCCAATTTTATTTTCGGATGACATTTTCGTAATTTCTTGGGCAACGAAAGCTCATTTTCTTTGAATATTGAAGGCTACAGATCACTGATTCGGCCTGAGGCTATTCTCCAACGATGATTGTGTCCATTAAGCACCGATTTGGGCGGATTTATTCCGCGTCAATTTTTGCCAGATTCCAAAGGGGTTCCATCACAGATTTCGGGCGATTTATCCGAAATGCCATTTTCTTTCGATTCTGGAGGCCGCAAATCACGAAATCAGGCCGAGGCTATTCTTCACCGATAATGAAGTTAATTGATCCTATTCTCCACAGATGATAAGTCCGTTAAGCATCGATTTGGCCCAATTTATTTTCGGAAGGCATTTTCGTAATTTCTTGGGCGACGAAAGGCCATTTTCTTTGGATATTGAAGGCTACAGATCACGGATTCGGCCTAAGGCTATTCTCCAATGATGATTGAGTCTATTAAGTACCGATTTGGGCGGATTTTTTCCAGGTCAATTTTTGGCAGATTCCAAAGGGGTACCATCACAGATTTTAGGCGATTTATCATAAATGCCATTTTCTTTCGATTCTGGGGAGGCTATAGATCACGAAATCAAGCCGAGGCTATTCTCTACCGATAATGAAGTCTATTGATCCTATTCTCCGCAAATGATAAGTCTTTTAAGCATCGATTTGGGCCAATTTATTTTCGGATGGCATTTTCTTAATTTCTTGGGCGACGAAAGCCCATTTTCTTTGGACATTGAAGGCTACAGATCACGGATTCGGTCTGAGGCTATTCTCCAACTATGATTGTGTCCATTAAGCACCGATTTGGGCGGATTTATTCCAAGTTAATTTTTGGCAGATTCCAAAGGGGTACCATCACAGATTTCGGGCCATTTATCCGAAATGCCATTTTCTTTCGATTCTAGATGCTACAGATCACGGAATCAGGGCGAGGCTATTGTCCACCGATAATGAAGTCTAATATCTTATTCTCCACGGATGATAAATCCGTTAAGCATCGATTTGGGCCAATTTATTATTGGATGGCATTTTCGTAATTTCTTGGGCGACAAAAGCCCATTTTCTATGGATATTGAAGGCTACACATCACGGATTCGGTCTGAGGCTATTCTCCAACGATGATTGTGTTCATTAAGCACCGATTTGGGCGGATTTATTCCGTGTCAATTTTTGGCAGATTCCAAAGGGATACCATCACAGATTTCGGGCCATTTATCCGAAATGGCATTTTATTTCTATTCTAGAGGCTACAGATCACGGAATTAGGCCGAGGCTATTCTCCACCGATAATGAAGTCTATTGATCCAATTCTCCACGGATGATAAGTCCGTTAAGCATCGATTTGGGCCAAACTATTTTCAATTGGCATTTTCGTAGTTTTTTGGGCGATGAAAGCCCATTTTCTTTGGATATTGAAGGATACAGATCACAGATTCGGCCTGAGACTATTTTCCAACGATGATTGAGTCCATTAAGCACCTAATTGGGCGGATTTATTCCGGGTCAATTTTTGGCAGATTCCATCACAGATTTCAGGCGATTTATCCGAAATGCCATTTTCTTTCGATTTTGGAGGCTATAGATAACGGAATCATGCCGAGGCTATACTCCACCGATAATGAAGTCTATTGATCCTATTCCCCACGGATGATAATTCCGTTAAGCATCGATTTGGGCCAATTTATTTTCGGATGGCATTTTCATAATTTCTTGGGCGACGAAAGGCCATTTTCTTTTGATATTGAAGGCTACAGATCACGGATTTTTCCTCAGGCTATTCTCTAACGATGATTGAGTCTATTAAGCACCGATTTGGGCGGATTTATTCCAGGTCAATTTTTGGCAGATTCCAAAGGGGTACCATCACAGATTTCGGGCGATTTATCCGAAATGCCATTTTCTTTCGATTCTGGAGGCTACAGATCACGGAATCAGGCCGAGGCTATTCTCCCCCGATAATGAAGTCTATTGATCCTATTCTCCACAGATGATAAGTCTGTTAAGCATCGATTTGGGCCAATTTATTTTCGGATGACATTTTCGTAATTTCTTGGGCAACGAAAGCTCATTTTCTTTGGATATTGAAGGCTACAGATCACGGATTCGGCCTGAGGCTATTCTCCAACGATGATTGTGTCCATTAAGCACCGATTTGGGCGGATTTATTCCAGGTCAATTTTTGGCAGATTCCAAAGGGGTATAATCACCGATTTCAGGCCATTTATCCGAAATGCCATTTTCTTTCGATTCTGGAGGCTACAGATCACGGAATCAGGCCGAGGCTATTCTCCACCGATAATGAAGTCTATTGATCCTATTCTCCATGGATGATAAGTCCGTTAATCATCGATTTGGGCCAATTTATTTTTGGATGGCATTTTCGTAATTTCTTGGGCGAAGAAAGGCCATTTTCTTTGGATATTGAAGGCTTCAGATCACGGATTCGGCCTAAGGCTATTCTCCAACGATGATTGAGTCCATTAAACACCGATTTTGACGGATTTATTCCAGGTCAATTTTTGGCAGATTCCAAATGGGGTACCATCACAGATTTCGGGAGATTTATCCGGAATAACATTTCTTTCGATTCTGGAGGCTACAGATCACGGAATCAGGCCGAGGCTATTCTCCACCGATAATGAAGTCTAATATCCTATTCTCCACAGATGATAAGTCCGTTAAGCATCGATTTTGGCCAATTTATTTTCGGATGGCATTTTCATAATTTCTTGGGCGACGAAAGCCCATTTTCTATGGATATTGAAGGCTACAGATCACGGTTTCGGCCTGAGGCTATTCTCCAACGATGATTGTGTCCATTAAGCACCGATTTGGGCGAATTTATTCCGCGTCAATTTTTGGCAGATTCCAAAGGGGTACCATCACAGATTTCAGGCCATTTATCCGAAATGCCATTTTCTTTCGATTCTGGAGGCTACAGATCACGGAATCAGGCCGAGGCTGTTATCCACCAATAATGAAGTCTATTGATCCAATTCTCCACGGATGATAAGTCCGTGAAGCATCGATATGGGCCAATTTATTTTCCATTGGCATTTTCGTAATTTCTTGGGCGACGAAAGCCCATTTTCTTTGGATATTGAAGGATACAGATCACCGATTCGACCTGAGGCTATTCTCCAACGATGATAGAGTCCATTATGCACCGAATTGGGGTGATTTATTCCAGGTCAATTTTTGGCAGATTCCAAAGGGGTACCATCACAGATTTCAGGCAATTTATCCGAAATGCCATTTTCTTCCGATTCTGGAGGCTATAGATAACGGAATCATGCCGAGGCTATACTCCACTGATAATGAAGTCTATTGATCCTATTCTCCACGGATGATAAGTCCGTTAAGCATCGATTTGGGTTAATTTATTTTCGGATGGCATTTTCGTAATTTCTTGGGCGAAGAAAGGCCATTTTCTTTTGATATTGAAGGCTACAGATCATGGATTTGTCCTGAGGCTATTCTCCAACGATGATTGAGTCTATTAAGCAACGATTTGGGCGGATTTATTCCAGGATAATTTTTGGCAGATTCCAAAGGGGTACCATCACAGATTTCGGGCGATTTATCCGAAATGCCATTTTCTTTCGATTCTGGAGGCTACAGATCACGGAATCAGGCCGAGGCTATTCTCCACCGATAATGAAGTCTATTGATCCTATTCTCCACGGATGATAAATCCTTTTAACCCTCGATTTGGGCCAATTTATTTTCAGATGGCATTTTCGTAATTTCTTGGGCGACGAAAAGCCATTTTCTTTGGATATTGAAGGCTACAGATCACGGATTCGGCCTGAGGCTATTCTCCAACGATGATTGTGTCCTTTAAGCACCGATTTGGGCGGATTTATTCCAGGTCAATTTTTTGCAGATTCCAAAAGGGTACCATCACAGATTTCTGGCCATTTATCCGAAATGCCATTTTCTTTCGATTCTGGAGGCTACAGATCACGGAATCAGGCCGACGCTATTCTCTACCGATAATGAAGTCTATTGATCCAATTCTCCATTGATGATAAGTCCGTTAAGCATCGATTTGGGCCAATTTATTTTCGGATGGCATTTTTGTAATTTCTTGGGCGACGAAAGTCCATTTTCTTTGGATATTGAAGGCTACAGATCACGGATTCGGCCTGAGGCTATTCTCCAACGATGATTGAGTCCATTAAGCACCGATTTGGGCGAATTTATTCGGGGTCAATTTTTGGCAGATTCCAAATGGGTACTATCACAGATTTCGGGCGATTTATCCAAAATGCCATTTTCTTTCGATTCTGGAGGCTACAGATAACGGAATCAGGCCGAGGTTATTCTCCACCGATAATGAAGTCTATTGATCCTATTCTCCAAGGATGATAAGTCCGTTAAGCATCGATTTGTGCCAATTTATTTTCGGATGGCATTTTCGTAATTTCTTGGGCGACGAAAGCCCATTTTTTTGGATATTGAAGGCTACAGATCACGGATTCGGCCTGAGGCTATTCTCCAACGATGATTGAGTCCATTAAGCACCGATTTGGGAGGATTTATTCGGGGTCAATTTTTGGCAGATTCCAAAGGGGTATCATCACAGATTTCTGGTGATTTATCCGAAATGCCATTTTCTTTCGATTCTGGAGGCCACAGATCACGTAATCAGGCCGAGGCTATTCTTCACGGTTAATGAAGTCTGTTGATGCTATTCTCCACAGATGATAAGTCCGTTAAGCATCGATTTGGGCCAATTTATTTTCGGATGGCATTTTCGTAATTTCTTAGGCGACGAAAGGCCATTTTCTTTGGGTATTGAAGGCTACAGATCACGGATTCGGCCTGGGGCATTTCTCCAACGATGATTGAGTCCATTACGCACCGATTTGGGCAGATTTATTCCCGGTCAATTTTTGGCAGATTCCAAAGGGGAACCTTCACAAATTTCGGGCGATTTATCCGAAATGCCATTTTCTTTCGATTCTAGGTAGGCAACATATCACGGAATCAGACCGAGGCTATTCTCCACCGATAATGAAGTCTATTGATCCTATTCTCCACGGATGATAAGTCCGTTAAGCATCGATTTGGGACAATTTATTTTCGGATGGCATTTTCGTAATTTCTTGGTCGACGAAAGGCCATTTTCTTTGGATATTGAAGGATACAGATCACGGATTCGGCCTGAGGCTATTCTGCAACGATGATTGAGTCCATTAAGCACCGATTTGGGCGGATGTTTTACGGGTCAATTTTTGGCAGATTCCAAAAGGCTACCATCACAGATTTCGGGCGATTTATCCGAAATGCCATTTTCTATCGATTCTGGAGGCTACAAATCACGTAATCAGGCCGAGGCTATTCTCTATTGATAATGAATTCTATTGATCCTATTCTCCACGGATGATAAGTACGTTAAGCATCGATTTGACCCAATTTATTTTCGGATGGCATTTTCGTAATTTCTTGGGCGACGAAAGGCCATTTTCTTTGGATATTGAATGCTACAGATCACGGATTCGGCCTGAGGCTATTCTCCAACGATGATTGAGTCTATTAAGCACCGATTATGGAGGATTTATTCCAGGTCAATTTTTGGCAGATTCCAAAGGGGTACCATCATAGATTTCGGGCGATTTATCTGAAATGCCATTTTCTTTCGATTCTGGAGGCTACAAATCACGTAATCAGGCCGAGGCTATTCTCTACCGATAATGAATTCTATTGATCCTATTCTCCACGGATGATAAGTACGTTAAGCATCGATTTGACCCAATTTATTTTCGAATGGCATTTTCGTAATTTCTTGGGCGACGAAAGCCCATTTTCTTTGGATATTGAAGGCTACAGATCACGGATTCGGCAAGAGGTTATTCTCCAATGATGATTGAGTCCATTAAGCACAGATTTGGGCGAATTTATTCCGGTTCAATTTTTGGCAGATCCCAAAGGGGTACCATCACAGATTTCGGGCGATTTATCCAAAATGCCATTTTCTTTTGATTCTGGAGGCTACAGATAACGGAATCAGGCCGAGGTTATTCTCCACCGATAATAAAGTCTATTGATCCTATTCTCCACGGATGATAAGTCCGTTAAGCATCGATTTATGCCAATTTATTTTCTGATGTCATTTTCGTAATTTCTTGGGCGACGAAAGGCTATTTTCTTTGGATATTGAAGGCTACAGATCACGGATTCGGCCTGAGGCTATTCTCCAACGATGATTGAGTCTATTAAGCACCGATTTGGGCGGATTTATTCTGGGTCAATTTTTTGCAGATTCCAAAGGGGAACCATCACAGATTTCAGGCGATTTATCCGAAATGCCATTTTCTTTCGATTCTGGAGGCTACAGATCACGGAATCAGGCCGAGGATATTCTCCACCGATAATGAAGTCTATTGATCCTATTCTCCATGGATGATAAGTCTGCTAAGCATCGATTTGGGCCAATTTATTTTCGGATGGAATTTTCGTAATTTCTTGGACGACGAAAGGCCTTTTTCTTTGGATATTGAAGGCTACAGATCACGGATTCGGCCTGGGGCATTTCTCCAACGATGATTGAGTCCATTACGCACCGATTTGGGCAGATTTATTCCCGGTCAATTTTTGGCAGATTCCAAAGGGGAACCTTCACAGATTTCGGGCGATTTATCCGAAATGCCATTTTCTTTCGATTCTGGGGAGGCAACATATCACGGAATCAGGCCGAGGCTATTCTCCACCGATAATGAAGTCTATTAATCCTATTCTCCACGGATGATAAGTCCGTTAAGCATCGATTTGGGCCAATTTATTTTCGGATGGCATTTTCGTAATTTCTTGGGCGACGAAAGGCCATTTTCTTTGGATATTGAAGGCTACAGATCACGTATTCGGCCTGAGGCTATTCTCCAACGATGATTGTTTCCATTAAGCACCGATTTGGGCGGATTTATTCCGGGTCAATTTTTTGGCAGATTCCAAAGGGGTACCATCACAGATTTCAGGCGATTTATCCGAAATGCCATTTTCTTTCGATTCTGGAGGCTACAGATCACGGAATCAGGCCGAGGATATTCTCCACCGATAATGAAGTCTATTGATCCTATTCTCCATGGATGATAAGTCTGTTAAGCATCGATTTGGGCCAATTTATTTTCGGATGGCATTTTCGTAATTTCTTGGACGACGAAATGCCTTTTTCTTTGGATATTGAAGGCTACAGATCACGGATTCGGCCTGAGGCTATTATCCAACGAAGATTGTGTACATTAAGCACCGATTTGGGAGGATTTATTCCGGTTCAATTTTGGGCAGATTCCAAAGGGGTACCATCACAGATTTTTGGCCATCTATCTGAAATGCCATTTTCTTTCGATTCTGGAGGCTACAGATCACAGAATCGGGTCGAGTCTATTCTCCACCGGTAATGAAGTCTATTGATCCTATTCTCCACGGATGATAAGTCCTTTTAAGCATCGATTTAGGCCAATTTATTTTCGGATGGCATTTTCGTAATTTCTTGGGCGACGAAAGGCCATTTTCTTGGGATATTGAAGGCTACAGATCACGGATTCGGCCTGAGGCTATTCTCCAATGATGATTGTGTCCATTAAGCACCGATTTGGGCGGATTTATTCCGGGTCAATTTTTGGCAGATTCCAAAGGGGTACCATCACAGATTTTGTGCCATTTATTCGAAATGCCATTTTCTTTCGATTCTGGAGGCTACAGATCACGGAATCAGGCCGAGACTATTCTCCACCGATAATGAAGTCTATTGATCCTATTCTCCACGGATGATAAATCCTTTTAAGCCTCGATTTGGGCCAATTTATTTTCAGATGGCATTTTCGTAATTTCTTGGGCGACGAAAGGCCATTTTCTTTGGATATTGAAGGCTACAGATCACGGATTTGGCCTGAGGCTATTCTCCAACGATGATTGTGTCTATTAAGCACCGATTTGGGCATTTATTCCAGGTCAATTTTTTGCAGATTCCAAAAGGGTACCATCACAGATTTATGGCCATTTATCCGAAATGCCATTTTCTTTCGATTCTGGAGGCTACAGATCACGGAATCAGGCCGAGGCTATTCTCTACCGATAATGAAGTCTATTGATCCAATTCTCCATTGATGATAAGTCCGTTAAGCATCGATTTGGGCCAATTTATTTTCAGATTGCATTTTTGTAATTTCTTGGGCGACGAAAGTCCATTTTCTTTGGATATTGAAGGCTACAGATCACGGATTCGGCCTGAGGCTATTCTCCAACGATGATTGAGTCCATTAAAAACAGATTTGGGCGAATTTATTCGGGGTCAATTTTTGGCAGATTCCAAAGGGGTACTACCACAAATTTCAGGCGATTTATCCAAAATGCCATTTTCTTTCGATTCTGGAGGCTACAGATAACGGAATCAGGCCAAGGTTATTCTCCACCGATAATGAAGTCTATTGATCCTATTCTCCACGGATGATAAGTCCGTTAAGCATCGATTTGTGCCAATTTATTTTCGGATGGCATTTTCGTAATTTCTTGGGCGACGAAAGCCCATTTTCTTTGGATATTGAAGGCTACAGATCACGGATTCGGCCTGAGACTATTCTCCAACGATGATTGAGTCCATTAAGCAACGATTTGGGTGGATTTATTCAGGGTCAATTTTTGGCATATTCCAAAGGGGTACCATCACAGATTTTGGGCGATTTATCCGAAATGCCATTTTCTTTCGATTCTGGAGGCTACAGATCACGGAATCAGGCCGAGGCTATTATCCACCGATAATGAAGTCTATTGATCCTATTCTCCACGGATGATAAGTCCGTTAAGCATCGATTTGTGCCAATTTATTTTCGGATGGCATTTTCGTAATTTCTTGGGCGACGAAAGCCCATTTTCTTTGGATATTGAAGGCTACAGATCACGGATTCGGCCTGAGGCTATTCTCCAACAATGATTGAGTCCATTAAGCACCGATTTGGGCGGATTTATTCGGGGTCAATTTTTGGCAGATTCCAAAGGGGTATCATTACAGATTTCTGGTGATTTATCCGAAATGCCATTTTCTTTCGATTCTGGAGGCCACAGATCACATAATCAGGCCGAGGCTATTCTTCACCGTTAATGAAGTCTGTTGATCCTATTCTCCACGGATGATAAGTCCGTTAAGCATCGATTTGGGCCAATTTATTTTCGGATGGCATTTCCGTAATTTCTTAGGCGACGAAAGGCCATTTTCATTGGATATTGAAGGCTACAGATCACGGATTCGGCCTGGGGCATTTCTCCAACGATGATTGAGTCTATTACGCACCAGTTTGGGCAGATTTATTCCCGGTCAATTTTTGGCAGATTCCAAAGGGGAACCTTCACAGATTTCGGGCGATTTATCCAAAATGCCATTTTCTTTCGATTCTGGGGAGGCAACATATCACGGAATCAGGCCGAGGCTATTCTCCACCGATAATGAAGTCTATTGATCCTATTCTCCACGGATGATAAGTCCGTTAAGCATCGATTTGGGCCAATTTATTTTCGGATGGCATTTTCGTAATTTCTTGGTCGACGAAAGGCCATTTTCTTTGGATATTGAAGGCTACAGATCACGGATTCGGCCTGAGGCAAATCTGCAACGATGATTGAGTCCATTAAGCACCGATTTGGGCGGATGTTTTCCGGGTCAATTTTTGGCAGATTCCAAAAGGCTAACATCTCAGATTTCGGGCAATTTATCCGAAATGCCATTTTCTTTCGATTCTGGAGGCTACAGATCACGGAATCAGGCCGAGCTATTCTCCACTGATAATGAAGTCTATTGATCCTATTCTCCACGGATGATAAGTCCGTTAAGCATCGATTTGGGCCAATGTATTTTCGGATGGCATTTTCGTAATTCCTTGGGCGACGAAAGCCCATTTCTTTGGATATTGAAGGCTACAGATCACGGATTCGGCCTGAGACTATTCTCCAACGATGATTGAGTCCATTAAGCACCGATTTGGGTGGATATATTCAGGGTCAATTTTTGGCATATTCCAAAGGGGTACCATCACAGATTTTGGGCGATTTATCCGAAATGCCATTTTCTTTCGATTCTGGAGGCTACAGATCACGGAATCAGGCCGAGGCTATTATCCACCGATAATGAAGTCTATTGATCCTATTCTCCACGGATGATAAGTCCGTTAAGCATCGATTTGGGCCAATTTATTTTCGGATGGCATTTTCGTAATTTCTTGGGCGACGAAAGGCCATTTTCTTTGGATATTGAAGGCTACAGATCACGGATTCGGCCTGAGGCTATTCTCCAACGATGATTGAGTCCACTAAGCACCGATTTGGGCGGATTTATTCCGGTCAATTTTTGTCAAATTCCAAAGTGGTACCATCACAAATTTCAGGCGATTTATCCGAAATGTTATTTTCTTTCGATTCTAGAGGCTACAAATTACGAAATCAGACCGAGGCTATTCACCACCGATAATGAAGTCTATTGATCCTATTCTCCACGGATGATAAGTCCGTTAAGCATCGATTTGGGCCAATTTATTTTAGGATGGCATTTTTGTAATTTTTGTGCGACGAAAGGCCATTTTCTTTGGATATTGAAGGCTACAGATCACGGATTCGGCCTGAGGCTATTCCCCAACGATGATTGAGTCCATTAAGCACCGATTTGGGCGGATTTATTCCGGTCAATTTTTGGCAGATTCCAAAAGGGTACCATCACAGATTTCAGGCGATTTATCCGAAATGCCATTTTCTTTCGATTCTGGAGGCTACAAATTACGGAATCAGACCGAGGCTATTCTCCACCGATAATGAAGTCTATTGATCCTATTCTCCACGGATGATAAATCCTTTTAAGCCTCGATTTGGGCCAATTTATTTTCAGATGGCATTTTCGTAATTTCTTGGGCGACGAAAGGCCATTTTCTTTGGATATTGAAGGCTACAGATCACGGATTCGGCCTGAGGCTATTCTCCAACGATGATTGTGTCCATTAAGCACCGATTTGGGCGGATTTATTCCAGGTCAATTTTTTGCAGATTCCAAAAGGGTACCATCACAGATTTCTGGCCATTTATCCGAAATGCCATTTTCTTTCGATTCTGGAGGCTACAGATCACGGAATCAGGCCGAGGCTATTCTCTACCGATAATGAAGTCTATTGATCCAATTCTCCATTGATGATAAGTCCGTTAAGTATCGATTTGGGCCAATTTATTTTCGGATTGCATTTTTGTAATTTCTTGGGCGACGAAAGTCCATTTTCTTTGGATATTGAAGGCTACAGATCACCGATTCGGCCTGAGGCTATTCTCCAACGATGATTGAGTCCATTAAGCACCGATTTGGGCGAATTTATTCGGGGTCAATTTTTGGCAGATTCCAAAGGGGTACTACCACAAATTTCGGGCGATTTATCCAAAATGCCATTTTCTTTCGATTCTGGAGGCTACAGATAACAGAATCTGGCCGAGGTTATTCTCCACCGATAATGAAGTCTATTGATCCTATTCTCCACGGATGATAAGTCCGTTAAGCATCGATTTGTGCCAATTTATTTTCGGATGGCATTTTCGTAATTTCTTGGGCGACGAAAGCCCATTTCTTTGGATATTGAAGGCTACAGATCACGGATTCGGCCTGAGACTATTCTCCAACGATGATTGAGTCCATTAAGCAACGATTTGGGTGGATTTATTCAGGGTCAATTTTTGGCATATTCCAAAGGGGTACCATCACAGATTTTGGGCGATTTATCCGAAATGCCATTTTCTTTCGATTCTGGAGGCTACAGATCACGGAATCAGGCCGAGGCTATTATCCACCGATAATGAAGTCTATTGATCCTATTCTCCACGGATGATAAGTCCGTTAAGCATCGATTTGTGCCAATTTATTTTCGGATGGCATTTTCGTAATTTCTTGGGCGACGAAAGCCCATTTTCTTTGGATATTGAAGGCTACAGATCACAGATTCGGCCTGAGGCTATTCTCCAACAATGATTGAGTCCATTAAGCACCGATTTGGGCGGATTTATTCGGGGTCAATTTTTGGCAGATTCCAAAGGGGTATCATCACAGATTTCTGGTGATTTATCCGAAATGCCATTTTCTTTCGATTCTGGAGGCCACAGATCACGTAATCAGGCCGAGGCTATTCTTCACCGTTAATGAAGTCTGTTGATCCTATTCTCCACGGATGATAAGTCCGTTAAGCATCGATTTGGGCCAATTTATTTTCGGATGGCATTTCCGTAATTTCTTAGGCGACGAAATGCCATTTTCATTGGATATTGAAGGCTACAGATCACGGATTCGGCCTGGGGCATTTCTCCAACGATGATTGAGTCTATTACGCACCGATTTGGGCAGATTTATTCCGGTCAATTTTTGGAAGATTCCAAAGGGGAACCTTCACAGATTTCGGGCGATTTATCCAAAATGCCATTTTCTTTCGATTCTGGGGAGGCAACATATCACGGAATCAGGCCGAGGGTATTCTCCACCGATAATGAAGTCTATTGATCCTATTCTCCACGGATGATAAGTCCGTTAAGCATCGATTTGGGCCAATTTATTTTCGGATGGCATTTTCGTAATTTCTTGGTCGACGAAAGGCCATTTTCTTTGGATATTGAAAGGCTACAGATCACGGATTCGGCCTGAGGCTATTCTGCAACGATGATTGAGTCCATTAAGCACCGATTTGGGCGGATGTTTTCCGGGTCAATTTTTGGCAGATTCCAAAAGGCTACCATCTCAGATTTCGGGCAATTTATCCGAAATGCCATTTTCTTTCGATTCTGGAGGCTACAGATCACGGAATCAGGCCGAGGCTATTCTCCAATGATAATGAAGTCTATTGATCCTATTCTCCACGGATGATAAGTCCGTTAAGCATCGATTTGGGCCAATGTATTTTCGGATGGCATTTTCGTAATTCCTTGGGCGACGAAAGCCCATTTCTTTGGATATTGAAGGCTACAGATCACGGATTCGGCCTGAGACTATTCTCCAACGATGATTGAGTCCATTAAGCACCGATTTGGGTGGATATATTCAGGGTCAATTTTTGGCATATTCCAAAGGGGTACCATCACAGATTTTGGGCGATTTATCCGAAATGCCATTTTCTTTCGATTCTGGAGGCTACAGATCACGGAATCAGGCCGAGGCTATTATCCACCGATAATGAAGTCTATTGATCCTATTCTCCACGGATGATAAGTCCGTTAAGCATCGATTTGGGCCAATTTATTTTCGGATGGCATTTTCGTAATTTCTTGGGCGACGAAAGGCCATTTTCTTTGGATATTGAAGGCTACAGATCACGGATTCGGCCTGAGGCTATTCTCCAACGATGATTGAGTCCACTAAGCACCGATTTGGGCGGATTTATTCCGGTCAATTTTTGGCAAATTCCAAAGTGGTACCATCACAAATTTCAGGCGATTTATCCGAAATGTTATTTTCTTTCGATTCTAGAGGCTACAAATTACGAAATCAGACCGAGGCTATTCACCACCGATAATGAAGTCTATTGATCCTATTCTCCACGGATGATAAGTCCGTTAAGCATCGATTTGGGCCAATTTATTTTAGGATGGCATTTTTGTAATTTTTGTGCGACGAAAGGCCATTTTCTTTGGATATTGAAGGCTACAGATCACGGATTCGGCCTGAGGCTATTCCCCAACGATGATTGAGTCCATTAAGCACCGATTTGGGCGGATTTATTCCAGTCAATTTTTGGCAGATTCCAAAAGGGTACCATCACAGATTTCAGGCGATTTATCCGAAATGCCATTTTCTTTCGATTCTGGAGGCTACAAATTACGGAATCAGACCGAGGCTATTCTCCACCGATAATGAAGTCTATTGATCCTATTCTCCACGGATGATAAATCCTTTTAAGCCTCGATTTGGGCCAATTTATTTTCAGATGGCATTTTCGTAATTTCTTGGGCGACGAAAGGCCATTTTCTTTGGATATTGAAGGCTACAGATCACGGATTCGGCCTGAGGCTATTCTCCAACGATGATTGTGTCCATTAAGCACCGATTTGGGCGGATTTATTCCAGGTCAATTTTTTGCAGATTCCAAAAGGGTACCATCACAGATTTCTGGCCATTTATCCGAAATGCCATTTTCTTTCGATTCTGGAGGCTACAGATCACGGAATCAGGCCGAGGCTATTCTCTACCGATAATGAAGTCTATTGATCCAATTCTCCATTGATGATAAGTCCGTTAAGTATCGATTTGGGCCAATTTATTTTCGGATTGCATTTTTGTAATTTCTTGGGCGACGAAAGTCCATTTTCTTTGGATATTGAAGGCTACAGATCACCGATTCGGCCTGAGGCTATTCTCCAACGATGATTGAGTCCATTAAGCACCGATTTGGGCGAATTTATTCGGGGTCAATTTTTGGCAGATTCCAAAGGGGTACTACCACAAATTTCGGGCGATTTATCCAAAATGCCATTTTCTTTCGATTCTGGAGGCTACAGATAACAGAATCTGGCCGAGGTTATTCTCCACCGATAATGAAGTCTATTGATCCTATTCTCCACGGATGATAAGTCCGTTAAGCATCGATTTGTGCCAATTTATTTTCGGATGGCATTTTCGTAATTTCTTGGGCGACGAAAGCCCATTTCTTTGGATATTGAAGGCTACAGATCACGGATTCGGCCTGAGACTATTCTCCAACGATGATTGAGTCCATTAAGCAACGATTTGGGTGGATTTATTCAGGGTCAATTTTTGGCATATTCCAAAGGGGTACCATCACAGATTTTGGGCGATTTATCCGAAATGCCATTTTCTTTCGATTCTGGAGGCTACAGATCACGAAATCAGGCCGAGGCTATTATCCACCGATAATGAAGTCTATTGATCCTATTCTCCACGGATGATAAGTCCGTTAAGCATCGATTTGTGCCAATTTATTTTCGGATGGCATTTTCGTAATTTCTTGGGCGACGAAAGCCCATTTTCTTTGGATATTGAAGGCTACAGATCACGGATTCGGCCTGAGGCTATTCTCCAACAATGATTGAGTCCATTAAGCACCGATTTGGGCGGATTTATTCGGGGTCAATTTTTGGCAGATTCCAAAGGGGTATCATCACAGATTTCTGGTGATTTATCCGAAATGCCATTTTCTTTCGATTCTGGAGGCCACAGATCACGTAATCAGGCCGAGGCTATTCTTCACCGTTAATGAAGTCTGTTGATCCTATTCTCCACGGATGATAAGTCCGTTAAGCATCGATTTGGGCCAATTTATTTTCGGATGGCATTTCCGTAATTTCTTAGGCGACGAAAGGCCATTTTCATTGGATATTGAAGGCTACAGATCACGGATTCGGCCTGGGGCATTTCTCCAACGATGATTGAGTCTATTACGCACCGATTTGGGCAGATTTATTCCCGGTCAATTTTTGGCAGATTCCAAAGGGGAACCTTCACAGATTTCGGGCGATTTATCCAAAATGCCATTTTCTTTCGATTCTGGGGAGGCAACATATCACGGAATCAGGCCGAGGCTATTCTCCACCGATAATGAAGTCTATTGATCCTATTCTCCACGGATGATAAGTCCGTTAAGCATCGATTTGGGCCAATTTATTTTCGGATGGCATTTTCGTAATTTCTTGGTCGACGAAAGGCCATTTTCTTTGGATATTGAAGGCTACAGATCACGGATTCGGCCTGAGGCTATTCTGCAACGATGATTGAGTCCATTAAGCACCGATTTGGGCGGATGTTTTCCGGGTCAATTTTTGACAGATTCCATTAGGCTACCATCTCAGATTTTGGGCAATTTATCCGAAATGCCATTTTCTTTCGATTCTGGAGGCTACAGATCACGGAATCAGGCCGAGGCTATTCTCCAATGATAATGAAGTCTATTGATCCTATTCTCCACGGATGATAAGTCCGTTAAGCATCGATTTGGGCCAATGTATTTTCGGATGGCATTTTCGTAATTCCTTGGGCGACGAAAGCCCATTTCTTTGGATATTGAAGGCTACAGATCACGGATTCGGCCTGAGACTATTCTCCAACGATGATTGAGTCCATTAAGCACCGATTTGGGTGGATATATTCAGGGTCAATTTTTGGCATATTCCAAAGGGGTACCATCACAGATTTTGGGCGATTTATCCGAAATGCCATTTTCTTTCGATTCTGGAGGCTACAAATTACGGAATCAGACCGAGGCTATTCTCCACCGATAATGAAGTCTATTGATCCTATTCTCCACGGATGATAAATCCTTTTAAGCCTCGATTTGGGCCAATTTATTTTCAGATGGCATTTTCGTAATTTCTTGAGCGACGAAAGGCCATTTTCTTTGGATATTGAAGGCTACAGATCACGGATTCGGCCTGAGGCTATTCTCCAACGATGATTGTGTCCATTAAGCACCGATTTGGGCGGATTTATTCCAGGTCAATTTTTTGCAGATTCCAAAAGGGTACCATCACAGATTTCTGGCCATTTATCCGAAATGCCATTTTCTTTCGATTCTGGAGGCTACAGATCACGGAATCAGGCCGAGGCTATTCTCTACCGATAATGAAGTCTATTGATCCAATTCTCCATTGATGATAAGTCCGTTAAGCATCGATTTGGGCCAATTTATTTTCGGATTGCATTTTTGTAATTTCTTGGGCGACGAAAGTCCATTTTCTTTGGATATTGAAGGCTACAGATCACGGATTCGGCCTGAGGCTATTCTCCAACGATGATTGAGTCCATTAAGCACCGATTTGGGCGAATTTATTCGGGGTCAATTTTTGGCAGATTCCAAAGGGGTACTACCACAAATTTCGGGCGATTTATCCAAAATGCCATTTTCTTTCGATTCTGGAGGCCACAGATAATGGAATCTGGCCGAGGTTATTCTCCACCGATAATGAAGTCTATTGATCCTATTCTCCACGAATGATAAGTCCGTTAAGCATCGATTTGTGCCAATTTATTTTCGGATGGCATTTTCGTAATTTCTTGGGCGACGAAAGTCCATTTTCTTTGGATATTGAAGGCTACAGATCACGGATTCGGCCTGAGGCTATTCTCCAACGATGATTGAGTCCATTAAGCACCGATTTGGGCGAATTTATTCGGGGTCAATTTTTGGCAGATTCCAAAGGGGTACTACCACAAATTTCGGGCGATTTATCCAAAATGCCATTTTCTTTCGATTCTGGAGGCCACAGATAATGGAATCTGGCCGAGGTTATTCTCCACCGATAATGAAGTCTATTGATCCTATTCTCCACGAATGATAAGTCCGTTAAGCATCGATTTGTGCCAATTTATTTTCGGATGGCATTTTCGTAATTTCTTGGGCGACGAAAGCCCATTTTCTTTGGATATTGAAGGCTACAGATCACGGATTCGGCCTGAGACTATTCTCCAACGATGATTGAGTCCATTAAGCAACGATTTGGGTGGATTTATTCGGGGTCAATTTTTGGCAGATTCCAAAGGGGTATCATCACAGATTTCTGGTGATTTATCCGAAATGCCATTTTCTTTCGATTCTGGAGGCCACAGATCACGTAATCAGGCCGAGGCTATTCTTCACCGTTAATGAAGTCTGTTGATCCTATTCTCCACGGATGATAAGTCCGTTAAGCATCGATTTGGGCCAATTTATTTTCGGATGGCATTTCCGTAATTTCTTAGGCGACGAAATGCCATTTTCATTGGATATTGAAGGCTACAGATCACGGATTCGGCCTGGGGCATTTCTCCAACGATGATTGAGTCTATTACGCACCGATTTGGGCAGATTTATTCCGGTCAATTTTTGGAAGATTCCAAAGGGGAACCTTCACAGATTTCGGGCGATTTATCCAAAATGCCATTTTCTTTCGATTCTGGGGAGGCAACATATCACGGAATCAGGCCGAGGGTATTCTCCACCGATAATGAAGTCTATTGATCCTATTCTCCACGGATGATAAGTCCGTTAAGCATCGATTTGGGCCAATTTATTTTCGGATGGCATTTTCGTAATTTCTTGGTCGACGAAAGGCCATTTTCTTTGGATATTGAAGGCTACAGATCACGGATTCGGCCTGAGGCTATTCTGCAACGATGATTGAGTCCATTAAGCACCGATTTGGGCGGATGTTTTCCGGGTCAATTTTTGGCAGATTCCAAAAGGCTACCATCTCAGATTTCGGGCAATTTATCCGAAATGCCATTTTCTTTCGATTCTGGAGGCTACAGATCACGGAATCAGGCCGAGGCTATTCTCCAATGATAATGAAGTCTATTCTCCACTAAGCACCGATTTGGGCGGATTTATTCCGGTCAATTTTTGGCAAATTCCAAAGTGGTACCATCACAAATTTCAGGCGATTTATCCGAAATGTTATTTTCTTTCGATTCTAGAGGCTACAAATTACGAAATCAGACCGAGGCTATTCACCACCGATAATGAAGTCTATTGATCCTATTCTCCACGGATAATAAGTCCGTTAAGCATCGATTTGGGCCAATTTATTTTCGGATGGCATTTTCGTAATTTCTTGGTCGACGAAAGGCCATTTTCTTTGGATATTGAAGGCTACAGATCACGGATTCGGCCTGAGGCTATTCTGCAACGATGATTGAGTCCATTAAGCACCGATTTGGGCGGATGTTTTCCGGGTCAATTTTTGACAGATTCCAATAGGCTACCATCTCAGATTTTGGGCAATTTATCCGAAATGCCATTTTCTTTCGATTCTGGAGGCTACAGATCACGGAATCAGGCCGAGGCTATTCTCCAATGATAATGAAGTCTATTGATCCTATTCTCCACGGATGATAAGTCCGTTAAGCATCGATTTGGGCCAATGTATTTTCGGATGGCATTTTCGTAATTCCTTGGGCGACGAAAGCCCATTTCTTTGGATATTGAAGGCTACAGATCACGGATTCGGCCTGAGACTATTCTCCAACGATGATTGAGTCCATTAAGCACCGATTTGGGTGGATATATTCAGGGTCAATTTTTGGCATATTCCAAAGGGGTACCATCACAGATTTTGGGCGATTTATCCGAAATGCCATTTTCTTTCGATTCTGGAGGCTACAAATTACGGAATCAGACCGAGGCTATTCTCCACCGATAATGAAGTCTATTGATCCTATTCTCCACGGATGATAAATCCTTTTAAGCCTCGATTTGGGCCAATTTATTTTCAGATGGCATTTTCGTAATTTCTTGAGCGACGAAAGGCCATTTTCTTTGGATATTGAAGGCTACAGATCACGGATTCGGCCTGAGGCTATTCTCCAACGATGATTGTGTCCATTAAGCACCGATTTGGGCGGATTTATTCCAGGTCAATTTTTTGCAGATTCCAAAAGGGTACCATCACAGATTTCTGGCCATTTATCCGAAATGCCATTTTCTTTCGATTCTGGAGGCTACAGATCACGGAATCAGGCCGAGGCTATTCTCTACCGATAATGAAGTCTATTGATCCAATTCTCCATTGATGATAAGTCCGTTAAGCATCGATTTGGGCCAATTTATTTTCGGATTGCATTTTTGTAATTTCTTGGGCGACGAAAGTCCATTTTCTTTGGATATTGAAGGCTACAGATCACGGATTCGGCCTGAGGCTATTCTCCAACGATGATTGAGTCCATTAAGCACCGATTTGGGCGAATTTATTCGGGGTCAATTTTTGGCAGATTCCAAAGGGGTACTACCACAAATTTCGGGCGATTTATCCAAAATGCCATTTTCTTTCGATTCTGGAGGCCACAGATAATGGAATCTGGCCGAGGTTATTCTCCACCGATAATGAAGTCTATTGATCCTATTCTCCACGGATGATAAGTCCGTTAAGCATCGATTTGTGCCAATTTATTTTCGGATGGCATTTTCGTAATTTCTTGGGCGACGAAAGCCCATTTTCTTTGGATATTGAAGGCTACAGATCACGGATTCGGCCTGAGACTATTCTCCAACGATGATTGAGTCCATTAAGCAACGATTTGGGTGGATTTATTCAGGGTCAATTTTTGGCATATTCCAAAGGGGTACCATCACAGATTTTGGGCGATTTATCCGAAATGCCATTTTCTTTCAATTCTGGAGGCTACAGATCACGGAATCAGGCCGAGGCTATTATCCACCGATAATGAAGTCTATTGATCCTATTCTCCACGGATGATAAGTCCGTTAAGCATCGATTTGTGCCAATTTATTTTCGGATGGCATTTTCGTAATTTCTTGGGCGACGAAAGCCCATTTTCTTTGGATATTGAAGGCTACAGATCACAGATTCGGCCTGAGGCTATTCTCCAACAATGATTGAGTCCATTAAGCACCGATTTGGGCGGATTTATTCGGGGTCAATTTTTGGCAGATTCCAAAGGGGTATCATCACAGATTTCTGGTGATTTATCCGAAATGCCATTTTCTTTCGATTCTGGAGGCCACAGATCACGTAATCAGGCCGAGGCTATTCTTCACCGTTAATGAAGTCTGTTGATCCTATTCTCCACGGATGATATGTCCGTTAAGCATCGATTTGGGCCAATTTATTTTCGGATGGCATTTCCGTAATTTCTTAGGCGACGAAATGCCATTTTCATTGGATATTGAAGGCTACAGATCACGGATTCGGCCTGGGGCATTTCTCCAACGATGATTGAGTCTATTACGCACCGATTTGGGCAGATTTATTCCGGTCAATTTTTGGAAGATTCCAAAGGGGAACCTTCACAGATTTCGGGCGATTTATCCAAAATGCCATTTTCTTTCGATTCTGGGGAGGCAACATATCACGGAATCAGGCCGAGGGTATTCTCCACCGATAATGAAGTCTATTGATCCTATTCTCCACGGATGATAAGTCCGTTAAGCATCGATTTGGGCCAATTTATTTTCGGATGGCATTTTCGTAATTTCTTGGTCGACGAAAGGCCATTTTCTTTGGATATTGAAGGCTACAGATCACGGATTCGGCCTGAGGCTATTCTGCAACGATGATTGAGTCCATTAAGCACCGATTTGGGCGGATGTTTTCCGGGTCAATTTTTGGCAGATTCCAAAAGGCTACCATCTCAGATTTCGGGCAATTTATCCGAAATGCCATTTTCTTTCGATTCTGGAGGCTACAGATCACGGAATCAGGCCGAGGCTATTCTCCAATGATAATGAAGTCTATTGATCCTATTCTCCACGGATGATAAGTCCGTTAAGCATCGATTTGGGCCAATGTATTTTCGGATGGCATTTTCGTAATTCCTTGGGCGACGAAAGCCCATTTCTTTGGATATTGAAGGCTACAGATCACGGATTCGGCCTGAGACTATTCTCCAACGATGATTGAGTCCATTAAGCACCGATTTGGGTGGATATATTCAGGGTCAATTTTTGGCATATTCCAAAGGGGTACCATCACAGATTTTGGGCGATTTATCCGAAATGCCATTTTCTTTCGATTCTGGAGGCTACAGATCACGGAATCAGGCCGAGGCTATTATCCACCGATAATGAAGTCTATTGATCCTATTCTCCACGGATGATAAGTCCGTTAAGCATCGATTTGGGCCAATTTATTTTCGGATGGCATTTTCGTAATTTCTTGGGCGACGAAAGGCCATTTTTTCTTTGGATATTGAAGGCTACAGATCACGGATTCGGCCTGAGGCTATTCTCCAACGATGATTGTGTCCATTAAGCACTGATTTGGACGGATTTATTCCGGGTCAATTTTTGGCAGATTGCAAAGGATGGTACCCCTTTGGAATCTGCCAAAATATGACCCGGAATAAATCCGTCCAAATCGGTGCTTAATGGACTCAATCATTGTTGGAGAATAGCCTCAGGCCGAATCCGTGATCTGTAGCCTTCAAAATCCAAAGAGAAATGGCCTTTCAACGCCTACAAAATTACGAAATATCATTCGAAAATAAATTTGCCCAAATCGGTGCTTAATAGACTTATCATCCGTGGAGAATAGGATCAATATACTTCATTATCGGTGGAGAATAGCCTCGGCCTGATTTCGTGATCTGTAGCCTCTAGAATTGAAAGAAAATGACATTTCGGAAAAATCGCCCAAAATCTGTGACGGTACCCCTTTGCAATCTGCCAAAAATTGACCCGGAATAAATTCGCCCAAATCGATGCTTAATGGACTTAATAATCGCCGAAGAATAGTCTCAGGCCGAATCCGTGATCTATAGCCTTCAAAATCCAAAGAAAATGGCCTTTCGATGCCCACAAATTTACGAAAATGTTATCCAAAAATAAATATGCCCAAATCGGTGCCTAATGGACTTATCATCCGTGGAAAATAGGATCAATAGACTTCATTATCAGTGGCGAATAGCCTCGGCCTGATTTCGTGATCTTTAGCCTCCAAAATCGAAAGGAAATGACATTTCAGAAAAATGCCCAAAATCTGTGATGGTACCCCTTTGCAATCTGCCAAAAATTGACCCGGAATAAATCCGCCCAAATTGGTGCTTAATGGACTTAATCATCTTTGAAGAATAGTCTAAGCCGAATTCGTGATATGTAGCCTTAAACATCCAAAGAAAATAGCCTTTCGACGCCCAGAAAAATACGAAAATGCCATCCGAAAATAAATTGGCACAAATCGGTGCTTAATGGACTTATCATCCGTGGAGAATAGGATCAATAGACTTCATTATCAGTGGAGAATAGCCTCGGCCTGATTCCGTGATCTGTAGCCTCTAGAATCGAAAGAAAATGACATTTCGGAAAAATTGACCAAAATCGGTGATGGTATCCCTTTGCAATCTGCCAAAAATTGACCCGGAATAAATCCGCCCAAATCGTTGCTTAATGGACTTAATCATCCTCGAAGAATAGTCTCAGGCCGAGTCCGTGATCTGTAGCCTTCAATATCCAAAGAAAATGACCCTTCGACGCCCACAAAATTACGAAAATGTCATCCGAAAATAAATTGGCTCAAATCGGTGCTTAATGGACTTATCATCCGTGGAGAATAGGATCAATAGACTTCATTATCAGTGGAGAATAGCCTCGGCCTGTTCCGTGATCTGTAGCCTCAAGAATCGAAAGAAAATGACATTTCAGAAAAATCGCCCAAAATCTGTGATGGTACCCCTTTGCAATCTGCCAAAAATTGACCCGGAATAAATCTGCCCAAATCGGTGCTTAACGGACTTAATTAATCATCGTTGAAGAATAGTCTCAGGCCGAATCCGTGATCTGTAGCGTTCAAAATCCAAAGAAAATGGCCTTTCGACGCCCACAAAATTACGAAATGTCATCCGAAAAATAAATTGGCCCAAATCGGTGCATCATTGACTTATTATCCGTGGAGAATAGGATCAATAGACTTCATTATTGGTGGAGAATAGCCTCGTCCTGATTCTGTGATCTGTAGCCTCTAGAATCGAAATAAAATGACATTTCGGAAAAATCGCCCAAAATCTGTGATGGACTATGATTAGGTAGTCATTAGGCCGTGTGGACTATGAGTGTGCAAGAGTTCTGAACAGGCAAAACAAAACGATTGTCATTTCTAATTTTGTGGGAAATAGATATCATATATTCGCGTGATGGATATAGTGTCTATGAAGTCTTCGGATTAATGACACAAATATTTTTTTTTTTAATTTACCACTAATATTACAAATTAAAAACTATTGACACAAATATTGTGTTTTTTAGTAAGGATTGGGGCGGGACCACCTGAGACTCAGGCGGGACTGATATTTTACTCAGTCCTGGGCGCTGGCGCCCCAGTCTCAAGCGGCCCCGCCTCAGACAAATTTTTTTAATTAGTCCTAGGCGCTGGCGCCCGAGACTCAGGCGGGAGCGCCCCGGACCCTTTTTTTTTCTTCGCCAGGCTAATCGTGGGCCATCGCGTGGGCAGCAGTTGGTACACGCCTCCAGAGAGTCGATTGCTTTCTGGAACCGTCGACACGAGTTTGTAGCGACGGCTCCATATACTGATGAGGAGTTAGCCTACCACTCGGAGCATATGGAGTGGTATAGAGATGTCACCAGACGATCCGGCACACGGAGAGGAGCTGCAGCAGAGGCGTTGGTTAGTTATTTGATTTATTTGCTTAATTTGTTGTTAATTGTGTGAAATATCTGACATTTTTGTTGGTGTTTTTTAGTATGACACTATCGAGCATGCTGAGGTGAGTTTGCGTGACGGTGTACGGTCTGGAGGGCTGACCCCCGACCAGTGTGAGGACTGGGCCAACTTTATGGCATCCGGGGTTGCTACTCTAGGGTTTGAGCATCGTAGATACCCTGATCTCACAGTACCTGTACAGCGCCATTATGAGGGGCCCGTCATGACTGCCTGGCCAGAGCGTACTGATCCGACACCGGGCTGGGTCGTCCCAGAGCCATAGTTCAGACAGGAGCATAGGCCACGTAGACATCGACGTGAGCATCGTGATGCACCTAACCCATTTCGGGTTTCAGATCGACAGCGAGCACAGCCCATCCGGCCTACATCGAGGAGCTTCCAGTTTAATCCGCCTTGGGCGCAGTTTCAGACAGATCCTTCCTCGAGCTTTCAGCCGCCGCGACGACACGAGTTTCAGTCAGATCCGTCTTCGAGCTTTCAGCCGCCGCGACGACAGCAGTTTCAGTCAGATCCGTCCTCGAGCTTCTATCAGCCAGAGGATAGCTTCCATACACCGCAGCATGCTACGATGGGAAACATGGCATCAGGTGGTGATACTAGAGCAGCGACGACTCACGACCTATGGGCCGAGGGTGATGAGGTGTTTAGGGAGACGATGTGGAATTATGAGCAGCATGTTCAGTCTCAGCAGCATGGTGGCGGTCAGCCTGATGAGCATCTCCAGTCTCAGCAGGATGAGATGTTTGGTACACAGGATCAGGATGGTGGTGTTGAGGAAGATGAGCCCCAGGAGTATGATGGTAGACCAGTGCGTAACAGGGTGCCTGCTAGGTGTGGTACTGGCGGCCATCTAGCGGTGGAGCATGGTGGTCGTCGTGGTGGTCGTCGTGGTGATCGTCAGTGAGACTATTATTATTATGTTATTATTATGTACTTCCTTCAGACTATTATTTTTGGATTGTTATTATTATGTACTTCCTTCAGACTATTATTTTTGGATTGTTATTATTATGTACTTCATTTAGACTATTATTTTTGGATTGTTATTATTATGTACTATAAACAAACAACAACATCTCAAACAACAACATCTTAAACAAACAACATCTCAAACAAACAACATCTCAAACAACAACATCTCAAACAACAACATCTTAAACAAACAACATCTCAAACAAACAACATCTCAAACAACATCTCAAACAACAACATACCAAACAACAACATACCAATCAAAAGAAATACAACAACTTCTACCACCTCTCAGCCACGTCTATTACCTCTACTTCCTCTTCTACCACCTCTCGTACTTCGTTGGCCACCACTCCTTCCTCGGTTGCTCCCACTCCCACTAGCTTGGCCACCGCAAGTTGATGCATTATGTCCTGCTTGGTTACAGTTGCTGCACACTTGGTGTGATGCACCCTCCCTTGGCCAGTCCATCTCGTTGTGAATCCTTGTAACTCGTGGCCTCCCCGGCTTCCTAATCATGTGCACATTATGATGGAGAATAGGACCATTATGCTTCTTCCAACCCTTAGGTTCACCAAGAGGTGCGAAACTTGTCCCATAACAAGCCATAACTGTTTCCAGCTTGTATACATTGTTGACAAACCTATACGCATTAGCCCCCATTCGGTTGCAAGCTGCAATGGTATGAGAGCAAGGAATTTTATTTCCTTGAAATTTACCACAAGTGCAAAATCCTGCCCGGTTTTGATCGTCAAAGTGAACTGTGAGTGTGTTTGACCCTGTCATGTTGAAATTGTTGGGAGGAGTCTGAACTACATAGATGCCTTGACCTCGATCAAGAGCTGTCACAGAATGTCCAATTGCCTTTTGTGACCTGTACTTCATCAGCTCTTCTCACTTGGTGGAGTACTGTGAACCGCCACTTCTAATTTCTGCTCCTGTCTCCAACCTATACTTATCGAATTTCTCCACCAATCGCCAATAGGTATGCTGCACAAGAGAAGCTATAGGAAGTGCACGAATACCTTTGAAAATACCATTGACGCTTTCTGCCATGTTGGATGTCAGGATAGACCAACGACCCCCACCATTGTAGTTATCATGTGCTAAACTTCAACGAATCTGATGTTGATCCACCCAGTTATCACATGAAATATTTCTATCAGCGGCCACCTTCTTAAATTGCTCAACTTGACGATCAAACTTCTCCAACCGTTTTTCTCCGGCTAACAAAATAGACCACAACACGTGTTAGATAAATTCATGACAAAATTACATGAAAACAAATAACAAAATTAAATGAAGAAAGCTTACCGACTCGAAATAGTTGATTATACATAATTTTGCTTTTAGTCTTCCTTTGCAAATTGCTTGCATAGTGTCGCATGCACCACCTCCACTCCCAACCTCTTCCGATGTTATTCATGGCTTCATAGAGTCCTGCATGTCTATCTGAGATGATGCATACATCATTTCAATCAGTCAAACCCTGAACCTTCCTCATGAACCATGGCCAACTCTCAGTATTCTCGCTCTCCACTATGGAAAATGCAATTGGAAAAATCTTCCTCCGGCCATCAAATGAGCTCGCCATGAGTAGAACTCCTTTATACTTCCCAGTAAGAAATGTTCCATCCACAACCATGACGCCTGGACAATTCTTGAATCCATCTATACAAGGTCCATAAGCCCAGAATACTCGCTGAAATATTGAATGACCTGGTTGAGCCGAAGGAACTCTTACCCAATCAATCACCGATGTTGGCATTTTTCTCTTGACCACCGCAAGAATGTTTGCAAAAAATCGTAGGATTCTTCCCAATTTCCATGCAACTTCTCCAATGCTCTTTGTTTCCCATATCAAGCCTTCTTGTAAGTAACTTGCATATTAAACTTATCTTTCAACTCGGCTTGAACAGTTAGAACACTCAGATTTGGTTGGGCACGTACCAAATGTTTGACGGCCTCAGATATCATGTCGACATCAAGATGGCGATGATCCGTCGGTTGAGTCGTACTGCTACAAGAATGCACCAATTCAGCTTTTCTCACAGTCCATTCGCCCCCAACATCTCGACATCCAAACCGCACCATCCAAGGACAATTGTCATCCTTGTGCCTCAAGCATCTGACCTTCCATATTGAAGGTGACGGCTCCACCACGCCATATTGAAAGTTGCGTTGTAGTGCGTGGTGTTTAATCGCCATCTGTGCAGCTTGTTTCGAGTGAAATATCTGCCCCTAGTAGAATTCTCCTTCAAAACTATCAACAATAGGCATTGGAATTACGCCATATGAATCAGCAAGTGCAAATTCTTCGTCCTCTTCATTACCCTGCAAGTAAAAATATGGAGGATAATTAAGCTGCTCTCCTTCCTCCTCCTCCTCCTCCTCCTCCTCCTCCTCCTCCTCATCTTCCTCCTCTCCGTCATCACCGTGATCATAGTCATGATCGGATGGCACGCTCCATGTATCATCTTCTTCCTCTCCACCCTGATCATCACTGAGCTCAACATGTACCTCAGCACCCAAACAATAAGGATTTTGTGCCATAAAATTCCAAAGCACATCCAAGCTATCATCATCCACAATAGGTAACGCATAATGAAATAAAACATCATTCTGCCATTCTGGAAGACGGTAAGTGAAACCTGTGATCACATCACTATCTTTTACTGCTTTGTCTCTGCTCCGTATTCTCGGAATTAGAGTCTCACAAAGTTTGTGATATGTGACTCTGGATGGAACCGTCAACTGAAAACTACTACCACCAACGAATTTGACGCCCAAATTATCCTCTACTTTCTCCGATTTCCACCGAACAACTAGTTCAAATCTTCTAAAATCACTACAAAAAAACAAACTCACTAATTAAAAACTAAACACAATCATAATAGCATTTGAATAATATAATTACATAAATAAATGTGTCTCTTACCTATTAGCCATTTTTGCAGCAGCAACCAGAGCTCTCTCCTCTATTTTGGACGATTTTTTTTGTGGTGTGAATCTGAAACGAAATAGTCTGGGTTTTATAAGGTGGGTGGCCAATCCACCTACTCGCCTCAGTCTCGGGCGCCACCACCTGAGTCTTGATTTCCCACCTACTCGCTTCAGTCTCGGGCGCCAACGCCTGAGTCTCGGGCGCCACCGCCTGAGTCTTGAGCGCCGCCGCTGCCAACTAAATAAAACGGTCCAAAAACCAAGCTAAAGCGGCAGCGCCTGAGTCTCAGGTGTCCCCGCCTATTCTTATCTCTAAAACACAATATCTTTGTCAATAGTTTTTAACTGGCCTTATTCGTGGTAAATTAAAAAAAAAAACAATATTTCTGTCATTAACCCGAAGTCTTCAAAACAAGTGCTATTCATTTGAGTACCTTACTAAATAGTCATACCTCATATACATGCAATGACGAATTTATAATAAACAAGCATGGCATTTCCATAACTTGGATATCATCTTCTGATAATTTGTGAAAATAATACGGTTTGAGCAGAGGCACTATTACCACTTCTTTTTTTATGCATAGAATGTTGTAACTTTATGCATATATCATAAACTTAATTAACACATGAATTGCTGTAACTTGGATATCAATCACCAACACGAAGATGGACAGCCGTCTCTCCTGGAGCAGATGACAGCTTGTAACTGATCAAACTGGTGACTGAATTTGCTCCCGCCTTCCTCACAGCTATGTCGTAATCTCCGTAAAACAGAGAAGCTTCACAAAACCCTTCCTCATCTGCTTCAGCTTCAGTGATCGGAGATTTCCACTCTCCGAGCAGCCGATCCACCACATCCCCAGCTTCCGTGTTGCTGAACTCGTAGTCTGCTAAGGTCAGCTCTTTGTAACCAGCTTCTTCTGGTCCGCCGAACATGATGATCCCTTCCACCGCCGGATGGGAGTAACCTTCCCTCAGAATCTGCTCCAAGTACTCTCCCTGTATATCTCATCCCACAAAACCACAACGAATCAACAACAGCTTGATTTAGTAACATTGATTAATAATCATTATACTCATGGTTTAAGGGTGGACATCGGTCGATTAAGTTTAGAACCGAATCAAAGTGAAACAAGACTGGAGAAGAAAAAAAATGAGGACCAGAACCTTACTAGAATCATGGTTGGTTTGATTCAATCATTTTCAAGTTCAATTTCAATCCGTTTTTTCTTCATACATAAAATAATTCGTAGAGTCAAATTGAAATATATTCGATTCGATTTTGTACAAATATTGATTTGGTTCGATTCGGTCTGGTGTTGACTGGATTGTTGCCCACTCCTAATCATGGTTACTATAGAGATGACAAAAATGACCAAATATTCTGGTATTCTCTAAACTCAACTTACTAATGCGCAAATCAGGTTTGAGTACTTTTTTTTACTTTTTGGGCATATACCCAAAATTTTAGTTTGTGTCTAAATTGGACTCATACCATTGGATAAACAAAAGAATACACGATGGTGTCGTTTTTTGTATTTTTTGATTTGTGTGAAATCACTTAATGAGTTGATCCATTGTCATTCCTAGGTTACTCTTAATTCAGACGACTAAATAAAATAAAATAAAATAAAAAAGGAACAGAAAATTAAATTTACCTGATGTGGGCCTTGGTCCACGGAAACTTCAGTAAGCCACAGTGGCAAACCCATGGATCCATAAAGGTCCAAACCGGACCTCATGTAGGCCAGATCCGGCTTCCCATGCCCAAAACTGCTACTCTGCAATCCGATCCCCGCCGGTATCCTTTCATTCCCCGGGTACGCCAGAATCTCCCCAAATCGCCGCAGATAATTCACCGGATGCGCAGTGTCGTCGCCGTTGTTCTCCACGGTATTATACTCGTTCATGAACAGCCTCACATTCCGATCAATCTCATGCGCCCTCCCGAAAAACTCCGCCGAAGCATTCTTCCCCAGCCGATCCTCGAAGAAGCTGAAGTGCAGATTCTCGTTCACCACGTCCCACGCGATCAGCTCCCCTCTGTACCTCGACACCACCGAATTCATCCTCTCCGCCGCGGTTTCTCGGAGTTCCTCCCCGGTCAGGTTCTTCACCCACTGGGGCTGGCATTTGGGGTTGTCCCAGAACACGTTGTGGCCCCTGATGGAGATGTTGTGCTTCTTGCAGAATCGAAGCATGGCGTCCGGCGTGGTGTAGTTCTCCTGCCCCTGGACCAGCTCCGTGCTGTACCATTTCATGGCGTTTGTGAATGTCGTGTGCTTGAATCGCGAGGCGAACCAGTGGCGGTAGGGTTTGGAGGAGAGGATGTGGAGGTTCATCCCGCATCCGAATGGGAAGCTTGGGGTTGTTTGCTTGATGGTTATGGACGCTTTCGGCACAGGTGCGCTCCCATTGCGGTCCACTATGCGGAATCTCACCTTGCTCTTTCTGATCTGCAAAATTGGATGCTGCCCAAGTCAGAATTTTTAAGGGGGTTATAGCCTCTACAGAGATTTTTTGTTACCTTTTCGATGATGTGGTCCTGGTGCGATCTCCATTGCTTCATGGTGAATTGTTGCAGGGCGACATTCTCAACCCATACTTCAGCTGTTGGATCCTTGCTCTGGAGAATTGAGAGGCAGGAACTGATATGTTGAAGAAATGAGAGGAAGCGGGAGCAAAGAAGAAGAGTTTGATGGTCCAAGTACCTGAAACGAAACCTCTGCAAGGCCTGACGAGTTTGGAGACAAGCCACCTTTGAGCATTGACCAGCACCCATTGCTAGCAATGGCTTTGCCGATATTGTGGAGTTCGCCGCTAGAAGTTCTGACGACAGCATCCACAACGATCCCACTTCCTTTGCTCGTCTGAACCCAAGCTGAACGAGTTTTTCCACAGGTCTTAGATTCAGTCCACATATAGTACTATGCAATGAAGAGAAATAAAAATCGAGAATAATGTATGACTTTACCGGAGAATGCGTAAAGGTTTCCTTCCTCCAGATGAACATTCTGCCTCGTTCTAGATGTCCAGTTCATGCTGTTACTAAAGATTCCTCCTCCATAGAGAGGCCTAGCAGGAACAGCCATACACTGCAGCAGAAGAATATGTCAAGTGTTGCGGTTAAATTAGCTTTTGATGAGTCTTGTCTGTTTGTGGCTGCAAATGAGAGAAATGTTGCAAGTCCTTATCTTGCCTTAATTGTTGCTGAGTAGTCGTATGGAATTCCATCGAAGGAGTTACAGTGCCCTGCATCCATTCCAGAGTGGGAACATTAACATGCTTGTTCATTAATTTGAACGCAGACCAATACATATGGAAATGGGAACGAAGGCAGAGGGGGAGAAAATCTACAGCACCGGAATGGAGAAGAAGGCATAAAAGCATCAGGAGGTAAGCTTCCCCATTTTCTCCCATCTTCTGTTTTGAAGTTACAGAGTTGAGAATGTTTGTCTCAAGGGAAAATTAGACGTTGATTAGATGGGATACTTATATGCTAAACATTTCTCGTTTAATGATTAATTACCCACTGGTTGAAGCTGTAAACGCAGGGTTTTGGGTAATTACCGTGGCTAACAAGCAATGCAGCCTCACATGAATGATTCAGCTCTGTACGACCAAAAGAGAGAATTGAGGAACAAATGACAGAACGATTTTGATTTCAATTGCAGTAAGGAGTAGCATTAAGAGAAATATTCTCTGAGTTGGATAATGCACATAGTGACAAACAACGATAATTAATTGCTAAGATGATTAATTATCTACAAAAGTTTCCCATTTTACTTAAAAAAGAAGGAAGCGTTACAATCTGAAATACTTCAGGGAAGAAGCAATTCTGCATGGGGGATTGATGTTATTCCATGTGCACCATTCCGTTTCATTTTTTTTCCTTCATATGTTTCAGTTATCTGTTCGTTTCTGCCAGAAAGAGGGAAGCAGCTTGCTTTCTAGGGAATCCCATCTTCCACTAATTAGTTACACGTTCTCTTCATGCATCACTTCTGTTTTTTTCACCCTTTTTATGGTTTTACAGTTTTCAGGAAGCAAAGGCTACAGAGGGGGAGAGTACTCTATCAGGAACGTGGAGAGTGGATCCTGTAATTTAACATCTTTGGAAACCTTGTAATGCAAGAAAGCGGACGATGGATCGGTGGTTTCGTCTGGATATTCAACACTTATGTTGTAGTCTCCATGGAACAGTAAAGCTTCAAAGAACCCTTTCTCATCCGATTCAAAAGTTGCAGGTTTGGTTTCCCACTCATGAATCAGCTTATCCACCACATCCCCTGCAGCAGTGTTGTTGAAATCCTTGTCTGCTAAGGTTGTCTCGTTGAAACCGCCTGCTTCTGGTCCTGCAAACATGATAATCCCTTCCACCCCAGGATGAGAGTAGGCTTCCCTCAGCACCTGTTCCAAGTATTCTGCCTGCAAAAACCATAACGAATTGATCAATATTACGTTCTCGGGAATCAAAAGTTTAGTTCTTATTTAATACAGGACCCATGTTGGTTCTAGGGTTCTACGTGATCAAATCAAGTACCTGATTTGGCCCTGGCCCAATGCTGACTTCAGTAAGCCATATTGGAATTCCTGTTGAAGCTAGAATGTCTAAGGAACTTCTCATGTAAGCAAGGTTAGGCTGCTTGTAAGAAAAGTGTCCCTGAACACCTATTCCGGCCTTTATCTCTTGGTTCCCAGGGTATGACAGAATCTCCTCAAATGTATTCCTGTAGTTTACTGGATCAGCATCCTCGTCGCCACTGTACTCAATGGTGTTGTATTCATTCATGAACAATCTCACATTCGGATCAAGCTGGTGAGCTCTTAAGAAATACTCAGCAGAAGCATTTCTGCCAAGTCTGTCCTCGAAGAAGCTGAAGTGTAAGTTCTCATTCACTACATCCCAAGCAATCAGCTGCCCTCCTGCATATCTGGAAACCACCGAGTCGATTCTCTTTGCTGCTGCTTCTGCCAGTTCCTCCGAGCTAAGGTCCCTAACCCAACCAGGTTGATACTTGGGGTCATCCCAGAAGATATTGTGTCCTCGTACGGAAATCCCCTTCTCTTTGGCAAACTTCATCATGGCATCTGCTGTTGTGTAGTTCTCTTGGCCTTGCCTCTTCTCGGTGCTGTACCATTTCATCTCGTTGGTGAATGTCGTGTACTTGAACCTCGAAGCGAACCATTCCTGATAGCCTGTGCTGCTCAGGATGTGATAGTTCATCCCACATCCAAATGGGAATTCTGGACTGATCTGGTTGAGTGTCACCTTAGCACCTCTCAATGAAGTTCCATTCTTGTACTTTACCTGAAATCTCACCTTGCTCTTTCTTTCCTGAAGAGTACGGAAAATTTCAAGGATTGCTTTTAGCTACGACGAAGTGAAAATGGTTGGGATTCGTAGGTTTACATACCGTTGCAACTCTTCTGTCCTGATGAGATCTCCATTCGCTCATTGTGAAAGGGTGCAATGAGACATTTTCAATCCATATTTCAGCACTTGTATTCTTGCTCTACATAGTATGCCCAATTTCCCCATCAGGAACTAAACAGGACAGAGGGCTGTGAATCAATTTGTTGCAGTTTAGTTACCTCAAAGAGAATCTCAGCAGGGCCTGAAAAGTTTGCTAAGATGCCACCTTTCATGAAAGACCAACATCCTGCCTTTGCGGTAACTCTACCACCTCGAATCAGCTCTCCGCGATTTGTCTTGAAAACAACGCCTACTTCTCGTCTCTCGTCAGTAACTCGGACCCATCCTACGAGGAACCCAAATCAAGCTCTTTGTGTTAAAACTTAAAACTAGCACCAAGAGGTACTCCTGAAGAAGAAACGGTTGACTTACCTGAAAAAACATAGAGATTCCCTTCCACAAATTGAACTGTCTTGAAAACAGTATCAAGTGAATCTGTACTATTGTGTGCAATAACATACGATCCCTCCAAGTTCCGTATCATTCCTCCTCCATATTGAGCTTCCAGAGGTACTTTCAGGCACTGCTCAACATAGAAATCAAACACTGAAGAAAGTTTCGGAAACTTAAAACGAACTCATTTTGATGCTCCTATGAAAGAGTGGAAATTGTAAAATCCTGTACTTGCCTCAGCTGTTGCAGAATGATCATAACTAACAGCATAAGAAAAGCTTGACAGCAAACTGCAGCAGAGCGAGCAAATCCAAAGAGTTGAAACTTTCTTCAACATACTGGGCAGAATGCCAGAATCAGCAAACTTCTTACTGGCATAAATGTTTGGTAAATGTCAAGTCTTTTTTCATGTAGTAACGTTCTGCCTAATTAATTCTCTTGTTGCGTTGCAGATGGACTATCAAACTGAATATATAGATGTAACAATCTATGGAAGTTGCTGTGCCTTGGGGAGAAGATAGCCACGTTTCCTCAAAAGTGGACCAAATAAGGAACCCACTACTGCACTCAAAATGGCTGCACTAGTTCAAGTAATTGGAGCACCAAGTCCAGCATCAGAAGCATCAGAACCTCATGGAAACATTGCAGATGGCAGAGATGGATTTAGTGGGAATCACTATTATCTTGATAGATAAGCCATAAACAATCGTGGAGTGCTCGTAGATAATGCACCTTATCTATCTGAATCAAAGACAACTCAATTCCTTTTCAGCTGGGAACTTGACGAAATGGGTTTTACGAGTGAAGTGCAAGAAACAAGGGAATGCTAACGTTTTCATGCATCAAATTCATTGCCACCAAGAGCTGGAAAGAATGTTACAGGGGTTTGATAAAAGTACAACTTTCCTGTGATTGCTTCCTTCTCAGGGCAAAAAAGAGAATCTGATGGGGTTTCTTTCTTGCCTAACAATTCATTATTTTTCCTACGGATGGCCAACAGCCATACCAAGAACTCCTACCTATCTTTAGTCTTTCACTAAACAAGTAACCGGCGAAAGAACAAGGAGACGAGCCTGCCTAATGGAGAAGAGCTATTCTGTGGCTTGAACAAGCAAATGTCTCTTCTGGGTTGCATTCGATGATGGCGCCACCACAACCTTCCGCACCAAACCAGAATTCCCCAATCTCGGGTGAACAATCGATACGTTGTAATCTCCATGGAACAGAGAAGCCTCCAAGTAGCCATTCGCGTCGGTCTCTCCAACGGCAGAAGCTTCTCGGCCACCACCCCACTCGTGCAGCAGCTTGTCCACCACATCCCCAGTCGGCAGGTTCCTGAAATTGTTATCCGTCAAACACATTCTGTAGCAGCCTTGCGGACTCCACGCCGCCCAAACCACCATTCCGGACACCTTGGGATGAGCGTGGCCTTCCCTCAGAACCTGCTCCAGGTAACTCGCCTGATCGGGGCTCGATTTAACATCGACCTCGGTGAGCCAAATGGGCACATTGGCAGCAGCCAGAGTATCAATCGACGCTCTCATGTAAGCAAGATTAGGGACCCCAAAATGAGACTCCAGACCGATCCCGAACTTGATCCAGTTGTTGTTGGAAAACCTCCTGATCCCTCTCAGCTTCTGCAGGTACTTCACCGGCATCGAAGCCGGATCCCCACTCTCCTCAATTGTGTTGTACTCGTTCATAAACAGCGGCGTCTCCCAATCAATTTTATAAGCCAGATTGTAAGCAAGCGCCGAAGCGTAGCTTCCCAGCTTGTTCTCCAGCGCGGAGAAATGCAGATTCTCGTTCACCACATCCCACGCGACCAGCTTCCCCTTGTACCTCGACACCACGGAGTTGATCCTCGTCCTGACAGCGGTCCCAAAGTCCCGCGGTGAGAGCGAATTAAGCCACCCTTGCTGGTAATTGGGATCGTCCCACAGCACGTTGTGGCCGCGAACCGCCACGTTGTGCTGCTGGGCGAACCAGAGCAGGGCGTCAGAAGCAGAGTAGTCCTCTCTGCCCCTCGAGGGCTCGTTGGTGTACCACTTCATCTCGTTCTCGAACGTCGTGACTCGAAACCCTCTCGATGTGAACCAGTTCTTGTAGGCAGCATTGGAGAGGATGTTCTTGTTGATGGCGCATCCAAAAGGAAAACTCAATCCGTTCTGGTTGATGGTCACATTTGCGTTAGGCAGGGGATTCCCCTGTTTATCCACAACCTGGATTCTCACCTTCTCCTTCCTTGTCTGCAATCAAATCCGTTTAATTTTTTTATACCGTCGGACCAATAATCAACAAATTGATAATGTAAGTAAATAAACCCACCTGCTCAATGCTTCGATCTTGATGAGACCGCCATTCCTGATGAGTAAAGGGCTGCAACGACACGCTATCGATGAACAAATCGGCGGTGGAGTTCCGGGTGTGGAAGTAGAGCTCTGACTCGCCGGAGGTGTTGACTGTGATGCCGCCTTTGAGCATGGACCAGCAACCAGGCTCGGCAATCACTGCTCCGGCGGGGATGAAACCCCCATCGGAGGTCTTGAAACCCGCCGTCACGGCGACATTCCCGTGGCTGACTTGCAACCAAGCTGGGTAGGCAGGCAGGGCAGGCATTGTTAATAACAAACACTAGAAAGTTACAATCTTTTTCTGAGAAAACGGATGAAAGGGGAAAAAGGAGAAGGTTTTGCAGCAGGGTTTTACCGGAGAAAGCATAGAGGCGGTCTTTGTGTAGGTAAACTTTCTGAGAAGCGCTGTGGTGTGGTTGAGTTCTTGAATGTGAGACGATGAAGTGGTTGCCAGTTTTGGAGGAAACCCTGTGTTGGATTTGGGCGGTTCCGAATCCGGACCAACCTGCCGAACCGTGGTTGAGTTCTGGGTTGAGTATGATCCCGCCGCTGTACTGAGGGCGGTGTGGGACTTCCAGGCACTGTAAAATTTGTTGGAGGAAAGGAAGAAAGGAATCAGCTATCAATGGAGAATCGGGTTAAAAAGGTGGAGGTGAAGAAACTTGCCTCAATGCTGGCGGTATAGTCGTAGGGCAAAGCTTCTGCTACAAAGCCTGCCATGCAAATTTGCTTTAAAAAAAATTTCTTATGAATAAGAAAACACATCATCGGTTGTTTATACAAAAGGAAACTTGTATCAATAAATTTTCCTCCTTTTATAAATGAATTATGAGAATATTATTTTTAAAAAATATTTATTCATATGATTATATCATATAAAAGGACACACCGATTTCGTTCTTTTGCCTCCTCCACTGCTAGAGCATTGAAATCTTTGATTTCAGAACATATAACGAAAATAATTTATCGACCATTATCAACATTCTTGTAAAACACATATATTTTTACACAATCTTATCAATTAATCATACAAAATCACTTATGTTCATGCCCATAAGGCCCTAACCTAAAATTTCAACTAATCTCTTCAATTAATTTTTTCACACCATCTCATCCACCACTTAATATTTTGTGATCACTGAAATAAACAAAAAAAAAATTAACATACTAATCTTGTTTAATCATCACAATGTCCTGTTTGTATACCATACAGTCCATGAAAATAGGATCCATCAACAAAATCTATTTTTACCAGATCCAAATTGAGTTATATTTGAAACTTAAAACGTAAATCAGAGACTTTGTAGCTCTGATCTATACCTTTTTCATTTAGTTAATTCAAAATTTCCAATGGATCAAGAATATCTAGACCAAAATTCAGTCATTAAAGCACAAAGCGATAACCTTGACCTAACAAATCAGTTTAACGTATGGATGAATGCAAATCTTCGATTTTCGATCTGCTCTCAAGATTAGAGTCGTGCCTGGAGGGACGCGGAACCTTAATCGATTTTGCCCGTGACTCGTATTATTGTTATTTTCAAACCTACTATCAAATTTTGATCAGTATATAGGGTTTGCATATGCTCGATTTAGAGTGTGTTTTGTAAAAGTAAAATGAAAAAACAAGTTGGCATTAACGAAAACCTACTATGAAAAACAAGTAGTTAAAAAGGCTAACCTGAAGAGATCAGAGAAGTCAAAATTACAAAGAGTTGCAACATTATTGTCTTCTGTCCCGCCGGTGGCGGCGGCGGCAGCAGCAGCTTCGTCGGCATCTCCTCCGTTCTGAAACTGGCCTGGCCGGCAAAGAGATTTTCATAAATGAAAAAAGAAAAAGAGATGGAAAAAAAAAGGGTTAAGAAGGAGCAAACCAAATTGAGAGTCGTAAGCTATGGGCAATAATGGCTTCCTGTTAATTTCAGTTAATCAAAGCTATAGCCTGCAGTAATCATGTGCTCTTTTTCCGCCCTTTAATTTCCCTATAAATACATGAAGTGAAATCTTGAAAAGGAAAATATTAACAAGGTACCTTCATTAATCAGTAATTTCCCTACTACCCAAACTGTCAATTTTGATTATGGGAATTGAATTCCAACCCTTCCTTAATCAATTAATTGACAAAAGAAAAAAAACATATCCATATCCAAGGAAGTTAATTAAATATTTACAAACTCTCTTTTTATTGCACCAACTCCTTTGTATCACTAATCCAGCTACTAATACTAGCTTTGAACTCGGCCAGTTGGTTGGCTGGAAGACAAATTTATTTCCGGTAAGATAAACTAAGTTTATGGCTAAAATTATCGCTATTTCATAGTTGAACGAAAGGAATGCAAGCCGATTGAAAACAATAGGAGAACTGAAACGGAAGAGAGAGTGTGCTAGGTGGCACACTCTAATTGGAAGAGTGAAAATTAAAAAGAGAACACTGAATAAAAATCAAACTACTGATCATTGCTCGTCATATTTTGTCATTTGATTGATTTTACTTGGAATTAAATTATTCATTAATTGAGAAATGTCGACCATATTCGGGGGGGAAATTTTGACTTAATGTATGATTCTACCTTTATGATCTCGATACACAACGTTATTATTAGTCATATTGGAGAATTCTAGCTTAAAACTAATTCCCAACAAAACATGCATTTTCTTATGACGGAATATATTTTGGTGCTCAGTTAGACTACTACCATAGTATGTAGTTAGTTTGCTAACAATCATTGAAATTCATTATCCTATTCCTAAGCAAATCAAAGAGAGATGAAATGATGAAGTAAATAACCACAAATAGTAAAAAGGAAGATGGAAAGGAACCACTTAGAAAAGTCCGTCAGGTAATAATGGGAAAAGAAATCATCGGTAATTTTTCAAAATAAAAAAAAAATGTTATAATTGGTGGCTAATGTGGAAGCATGAGGAATGAGAAATTGAAAAAATGGTGAAGCCTTTTAATGAGAAAGTGGATAGTATATTTGTTAGTTATGAAGGTTGTACGCCAGAACATGCTCCATTCAAAAATTTACATCTTTGAATGATAGTAGATTTTTTTTTTTTTGTCATTTCAATTAATATTATAAAAAATGCATCACTGGAAAAGAAACGCATAACATATAAGTATGAGAAAGGAATTTAAAGCTTAGTTTGGCTCTGCTGTAGCTCTTGCAGAAGCAGCTTCTGGCTGGAGCTTTTAGATAAGTACTTTTCAAAAAAAGCAATTTAGTGTTTGGCTGTAAAACTATTAGAAGTGTTTTTTAATATGAGCGATTGTGTAAAATGACTATAAAGGACTTATAATATAAAATAAAAATAAAAATTCTAAACAATAAAAAGTAGTCAAAATAGATCTTGTTAGATTTCTTTTATATTAAATAATATGATTTTATAATTTATTTTATTTTTAAAATGATATAAATGAAGGAAAATTATATTTTCTGAAATAAAATTAAAATATGGTAAGGATAATCTTGTATTTTCAAAACAGCTTTTCGCAGAAGCTCCAAATCGGAGCTTCTGCTTTTATGTTATACAAAAGCGCTTTTCGGCTTTTCAAAAGCCGAGCTTTTAGAGGTGTTTGGCCCTGCTTCAGCTTTTGAAGCCGAAAACCACTTCTAAAAGTCGGGCCAAACATAGGCTAAGAAACCCTTAAGGGCAGAAACGCATCGTAATTAATTAAGCCCGACATTGGTCACTGAAAAATGTGGGTAAATTTCCAAAATATTATTTTTTTAAAAATTTACTATCAATATGGTGGTTTTAAAAGTATTTACACGAATATGTGTTTTAGAAAGAACACATAGCGAGCCCGGCCGAGACTCAGGCGAAGGCGCTTTATAAAATTTTTAGTTCAAAATTGAGCGGTGGCGCCCAAGACTGCAGCGTCTGCGCGATTTTTTGGTTTTCATCAGCGGAAAAATTCCTAAAATCCTTGACCAGCGGAGGCACCAGAGACTGAGGCGATGAAATTCCACCAGTGGGGGCACCCGAGACTGAGGTGGGTTCGCTACCTCCCACAGCCACTCCAGCACTATAAACAAGCGATTTGCTTTCAGTTGCTCACCACAAAAAACCTATGTTACGAAGTTAGACGAGAGAAGCTCTGCTGGTTGCTGCAAAGATGGCTAACAGGTAAGAGACACATTTATTTTTTAATTATATTCTTCAAATGCTATTGTGATTTTATTTAGTTAGTAATTAGTGAGTTTGTTTTTTTATGTAATGATTTTAGAAGATTTGAAATAATCTTTCGGTGGAAATCAAAGAAAGTGGAGGGTAATTTGGGCGTCCATTTTGTTGGTGGTAGAAGTTTTCAGTTGACGATTCCATCTAGGGTGACATATCACAAACTTTGTGAGAATCTAATTTAGAGAATACGACGTGAAGACAAAGCAGTACAAGATAGTGATGTGATCATAGGTTTCACTTACTGTCTTCCAGAATGGTCGAATGGTGTTTCATTTCATTATGTGATGCCTATTGTGGATGATGATAGCTTGAATGTGCTTTTTGATTTTATGGCACAAAATCCTCATTGTTTGGGCGTTGAGATTCATGTTGAGCTTAGTGAGGATCGAGGTGGAGAGGAAGAAGATGAGACATGGAGCGTGTCATCCGATCATGGTGACTAAGAGGAGGAAGATGAGGAGGAGAGGAGGAGGATGGGGAAGAAAAGCAGTCTTATTATCCTTCATAACTCACCTTCCTCCGGCCAACTGGCCGGGGTCCACGCTAGTGAACTTACTATAATTTATACTATCACTATTCGCAGCTACTTATTCACGTGTTTACCTCCTACATTCAGTTAGATACAAACAAATGAATCAACATACAATTGAATACGTTCCTCTTTTTACTTGTTAGTTTCTTACCCTGCCACTTTTTACACCAACTCACAAGTCACAACACCATTACAACTTACAAGCACACCTCCCTTTTTTTCTCTTACTAGTTACTACTACTGCTACTACAGACTTTCTTCACAACTTAACAGTTATAATACAAACAAATCGAATAGATGATACCAGAAAACAAAAGAACACCATAAAACCGGGGTAAAAAAAACACAACGCAAACTCGCAAAGCATAAACTAACTCCCTGGAGGAGAACGGAATGGATGAGGTAAACCAACATGAATGGCTGTTTCATATTCCAAGCTTGTTTTCGTGCTTGGTAAAATTGTCTTGTTCTTGTATAATGACCTTTTTTTTCTCATGCCTGGAGGTATCCCTTTGCCTCCAAGAAATTAACGACTTTATCTGCCATCTGTTGCGGTGAAGCACAGTCACCCAACTCGCATTTCAGTGCAATCTGACAAAACACAACACATGAATCAGAAATTAAGCACTGCCTAGTTCGCATAACTGGAAGCATGTACGCTAGGGTCAAACTGAGAATTTGCCCAGTTGGCGATGATCAAGTGCAAAACGACTGCGCTACTTCGAAGATTAGACAATGTGGCAATAGAAAGCTGATATGGATGGATTTAACTAGCTTCATTAAGATGACCCAGTTGAAAGATGTATTACGACTACACGCTATAAGAACCCCAGGTTGGATTACAGATTTTTTTTTTTTTTTGTCTATCCTCTATTTGCTTCACTATTTAGCCACGAATCAGGGAATCAAACACTTAAAGAACCCTACAAATGGTCAAATGCATATTGAATGAGCAAATGCTTCATGCTTCAGTTGGGTTTCATGGTAAAACATTACCTCACAATCTTTTGGTGGTTCATATGGGTCATCAATACCAGTAAAGCCTGCAAAACGGGAACCATCATCTTCAATTGTTCAAAATTGAAGTTAAGCATCGAAGAACTATTTAGCCATTTTCTTCCAAGTGCTTTGCATTCACTCTGAATACTTATTCTATGCTGCCAATAGTGAAATGGTCCTTTGATCCAGGAAAGCCGGTTTGAAAAAGTTATAGACTTCCACAAAAAATCACAATACGAAGTCTCGACTACATTCATGCAACTGCTTTCTTTTAATGTGAGAAACTACCACATGCGTTATCAAATATTACCCTTTATTTTCCCAGCACGAGCAAGCTTATATAATCCCTTTGGGTCTCTGGCTTCACAAACTTGGAGTGGAACATCCATGAACACCTGTGTCCATAATGTTTGTCAACAAAATTCTATTATCTTGACTAGTAAATGAACGGAATCTGACCATTCATTATAAGGAAAAGAGCATTACAGATTATATAAACAGGACTAGAGAGTCAAGGTAGTAATAAGCATCAACCTCAATAAAATCTCCAGTTGGTAACATAGCACGACAGGAATCCCGATCCGTTCTGTAGGGAGAGATCAGGCATGCAATGCAAATTACTCCAGAATCAGCAAACAACTTAGCTACCTCACCTACGCATAAAAGAGTAAACCAGATGGTATATCACTGTAAATAGTTAAATTCTGAACCAGATCATTCAAGAGATAATTTGAAACAAGTGGCTGACAATTCAAAGCACTACGAGCTTACCAACTCGGCGGATGTTCTCTGCACGATCTTCTGCCTTAAAACTAAGATCACGGTTTAGACCGTGTCTTACATTATCTCCATCAAGAATGTAAGACAACTTCCCTCTTTGATACAAGAGTTGACTCAATGCACAAGCCACAGTGCTCTTTCCTATCAGTTGAATTCCAAATCAAAAATTGGGAAACGGATATAGTGGAGCAATGCACAATGAAATATGCCACATTGGATGATGGGTCTTCTCCCTAAGAACGGACAAATAACTCTAGTTGAAGGGAACTTAAAATTCAATTTCTTATAGCATAGAAATCATAATGCAGAATAACCCAATAGTAGTAGGAAGCGCTCGATACTTATACAGACCATTAACATTACACGATATCACATATGTCGACTTTTCATCTGCCTCCTAGTGATTCAAGTCCCAATTCTCAGTTTGCTCATTATTTCAGGGAAAAAAATCACTAAACTGAGGTATTAACTCCTGTACCCAAAAACTCATGGTACGTTTGTATCATGAATTCTCCACTAAAGAACAGATTACTCAAAATGAATGCATGCCGAAACACTCAACAAACAGTCTCCACTGGCTCCAAGAGGCTATAATGAAGAGAACTGGTTCAGCTATTTGTTTCAGATAAATCCTATATATTTTTTGGTGTAGTCAAAGGTAGACCATGGCATTCAAACTAATCATTCTGGAACTCACCTAATGTGATCACACAGCCAGAATCAGTCATCAGCAAGTTAAACAGTCGAGTAGCAAATATACCTGAACCACTGAGACCCGTGATCCATATGACACAACCTTTCTGATTCAGCAACCTTTGCCTTCCATTTTTGTCAACAGGGCAATCGTGCCACTTGATGTTTGTTGAATTCCCAACAGTAGATAGTGGGCCGCGATTATTCCCTGTCCGTAAAAAAAGCACTTCAGGAGTCTACCCAAATCAATAAAGGAGATCAAAAGGTTCCATTCCACAAGCTTTAAAGTTACCCAGTCAAAATACGTTCCCTTTACAAGTTCTGTAATAGCCGGCGAAACAAAGATGGTGAATTAGAATCCCTAATTCGGTAAACAAGCTTGCTCTTTCCATGTATATTAAATACATTAAGTAACAAGCCTGCTTTCCTCTTTGCTCCACCACAAAAAACCAGCAGAAGAGAAAAGGTTTAGATCGGTGGTAAATCAAAACCGACATTCAATCTTTTGGGTTTGAAGATTCGGATCGACGGTAAGATCGAGATGAGATTTTGAATAAGTTGGGCGGGGGATAATTCCTACTTAGCTCACTTGATCATTTGCGAAACCGAGAGAATGAGAAAGTAAAGATTACCGGCGTGAGCGTGCCCGTTAACCGATACAGCATCCAAACACGACTCCTTATGGTCAGCAACCCTCCCCGCTTGGTTCGAGCTCGCCGGCGAGTCTTCCATAGCCTTGATCCTCAAACAGCGACCTTCGCCCTTGTTCCTCCTCCTCGTCGGGTTGAAGTTAGTCACGGCGTCTACGTCGCGCGAGGTCCAGAATCCCGCCTTCAGAGTAGCGATTCCCGGCAGCGGCTTTGTTGCAGCCGCATTCATCCTGACGATTCGTTTTTTACCCGAGAAAAGGGAAAGAGAGGCAGAGAAACCAGGCAAAGAAAATGGAGGGATGGTGGTAAAATAACGAAGGCGGCAGAGCTAAAAACGGGACGTTATCAAAATTCAATAGCGACCCTGAACGAAAGGGATCGTGAATTGAATTCGATTTTGAATGGATTGGAATTGAACGATGATGGTGAGGGTTTTCAGTTTACCAAAACTGGGAGGCAATTTGGAGAAGGAAATGTCAAGTGCATAATTTGGAGGGGAAGGTGGAGAGCTTGTTTAGGGGCGACTAGCAATTTTACAAGTCTATAACTCACTGTTATGTGTTATCTTATTTTATTAAACTTCTTTTATACCATTTTTGTTTCGTTTTTTTTTTTAAGGAAAAGACATTTTAATTTTTTAATAAGGCTGCAGACATATATTTGACTTTTATTGTTGAAAAAGAAAGGTGCAAGGACAAATCCGTGATTTAAATGTGGAATGCATTTAATTTCATATTTTTGGTAGAACAAATATGTTGTTTCCACCATGCTCAAAATATTCACACAAAAAAAAAAGTCAAATGAATGAGGAATCCTACTATTTGATACATACGACTTGTTATAATGAAAGAGACATTGCAACTTACAACTAGAATAAAAAATAATTAAAATCAATTTTTAGGATTTTGATATTTTAAATTGGTCTAAAATTCATTATAAGATCGATCATATATACATCAGTCATTACACATAAGTTAATTATTCGCCTACGGGCCATATAATATTCATATTTTTAGTTTCTACTAATTCCAATCTATTAAAGACGGCAAATTGATCTCATTTCTCTTACTTTTTATTTTGTGGTGATTGACTCGCTACCACTGTAGTTCAATAATAGACCAAGTGTAGTAACCTATAACTGGTTGTAGTATGGAGTAAGTATTTCAAATATCAACCTAGGCGATCTATATATCCTTATTTCAGCCATCTACAAGTTATCTAGCAGTCGAATTGTTGTTAAAGCTAATAAACTTGCAAATAAAACGATATTAAGTTCAATTGAGAAAAGCTCACTCTGACGTTATTCTTCCTAGTCTCGTGTTGAGATGCAATTGTGATACTATAGTATGATAGGTACGCATTCATTTACTGTTAGGAGATCTAAATTAGTTAGAACCCCTTATTTGAGCATCCTAGCCCGCTTAATCGATCTAATCGGAGGGGTGTACCACACAACCTCAAAAGACGACTATGGCAATCGATTCCTCTTCCTCAGAGATTAACTTGAAACGACGAAGAGTCACCAATCACAACGTTTCATGGCACTCTATGATGATTGAGTAGTGACCCGAGGAGAATTTTCTCCCTCTTAGGTCAATTTGCCCCAAAATTGAGGGATTTGATTAAGAACACTCAATTTGCATGAAATACATCGATCTATATATAAATCAAAATACTCATCAACACAATGAGTTAACAAACTACAATCTACAACATCCTACACTAGGCTTCCCAACATCCAAGTGAATAGAGTAACTATTTCATAGATATAAGAGAAACAACAACTAGAATAAAAGAAACCCCATGGAAAAGTGATCTTTCCTCCTCCTAGTTGCTTGTGTGGATGCTTGGAGATGAAATCTACCTCCAATTGTCTTAGGTCAAATTCACCTTCAACTCCTCCTTGCTCGTAGCTCTCTCTATCTTTGAAGAACAACTCTTAACTCTCTCGCTAGAACACTCTCATCCGATTTCAGCTCACTTTCCTTTATATAGTCTGCGAGTGCACATATCACTTTGCACTTCAAGCCAGTGGAGTATGCAATGAAACTGTGATCTAACCGCAAAATGCACCGTTTCATTAACATACTTCACGACGGGGGGACTGTGATCCTTGCAATGCCCGCGAACTGCACGAAAGCTCCTGGACAATTGCAGACTTCATGGTTCGGCTGCTGACTTCACGATTTGGGACTGTGATCCTTGCACTGCCTGCGAACTGCACAAAGTCTCCTCGAAGTTTGTACTCTATACGTTTTCTTCATCGACACCACGGTTGCTGCCTGCGATCATCCCCTTCTGGCCGTGATCAATGCACTTTTGTCCATTTTGCTCACTTTTTATCCCTTTAGTCTGACTTTCAATCCCGATATCCATTTTACATGTTAAGGTCTGAAACATGACAAAACAAGACCAAACCTAGCATAAAATAGCTCCAAGGACGTTGCAAACCAAGTCAAATGGCACAAGGCAAGAGGTATAAACATGTAATCTATCCCGAATCAAACTCACCCAAACTTGAACATTTGTTTGTCCCCAATCAAATCTACTCAAACAAGTACAACTTGTCTGGCAATAACAATGGTATGCTCTATCAATCATCGGTGGCGCCTAATAAACTATCAAAGTCGGGTAAACTTTACTTCCATCTCTTCGTGCCAACACATACTCTCGGATGATGACCTTGTCAACTAAAGAGGTCTAGACACTTCACGTGTGCACTGGGGGACTCATAGAAATCATGTGAAAAGCTTACGACTCCATGATAGTATTCCTACGTTTTCAAAAAAGGACTCAATTTTTTGAGTCTCAACTTAAACTCTGTTGTACATGGCACCCACATTTTGCAATTTTTCAAATTAAGGCATCTCTCCCTCGGGCTAAGATCATAAGTAAATTGCCTTCTCTATCAAAGCCTCATATGGGGAACCTAATGTTTGGATTCATTGCCACAGAGCACCACTTTCCAGCCTACACTTTTAGTCTCAACAATAGCCGAGTTGCCACACATGTAGGTAAAACGAGAGCCCGAGGTCTCAATGACTTGCTTAAAAGCACACTATCTCTTTATCATACAAGTTCGTGAGGAGGAGAGGTGTTTGGGGGGATGAAAAATAGTGAAAGATGATTGGGACGCTAGAAAGCTATCTGGTCCCCGAACACATCCTCAAATGGCATTCTGAATTGACAGAAAAGCCCTGCGACTACTTAACTCAAACACTATACTCGGTTTCCTCTCACGTGAGAACACTCCATTTTTTCAAAAGCTATTTTAAAATTAGTGCACCTTTTGCAGAACTCTTTGGAGTCTAAAATTGGGGAATCCCACGCACATGTCCTAACCTCCATAACAAACACTTTCACACATACGAGAGCAAATTGAAGTAAAGCCACTCATTATCTAGAATGTTCGTATCACCTCACCATTCCCAATAATGCACACCATCACAATCATCAAACAATTCAAAGCATACCGAGCAAGATCATGCTTGGGACAATTGTGTTCGAAACCCCTAGAATTTTCAAGTCAAGCAAGAATACAGGTTCCAAAACACATCCCAATATCGGGCATTCATCAATCATACATGCACAAGTGCTTGGAGCCTTCAAATTGTAGAAATTTGGCAATCGCAAGGTTCCAAAGCATTCAAATAGGCCATTTATACTCATTATTCACACGCCAATTACAAATATATGTACAACCCCCCCCCCCCCCCCCAACACACAAATACACATAAGCACGACATTGTTGCAAATGGAGCAATGATAAGGGTAGAACAAAGTTGCTTAATCATTATGAGTGAAAGTCGGACTGGAGATGAAGCAGTTTCAAGGGAGAGAGAGCTTCACACGGAACAAACACATGATCGCTCAAGACGAGGTTATTACACAATCACAATATTCAAAACATCACAAGATAAGAAAAACAATACAATAGTACTAGTCAAACACACAAAAATAATAAACAAAGAGTGTAAATCAATGGAAGATGGAGGTTCTACGATGCTAACATGGCACTAAAGTGGTGACTACCCCTGACGAGGAGGTGAAGTTGGCCACTCTGGATCCTAGAACACGATGCCCTGGGCATGGAGCATCGCCCTTTTCAATCGGTGTGAATGTCTTCGAGCGTCACGCTCTCGGCCGATCTGGGATGAAACTTCTGCAAACTACTCCACGAGGGCAGAGACTCGGGCCTCAAGGTTTCTCGAGGAAGAATATCCGACTCTGGATGTTGAAGAAGCACTAGCATGGCCACGTCGGCGTGGTGGTGGAGCTCTCTGGTGTTGCTCTGGTCGCTGGAAAAGACCCTCAATGTATCATAAAGGTCCAACACTCGGAATAAACGCATGGAACCCAAGGTCCCATCCTAGAAGTTTGTAGTGTGGTCCACCTTGGTGCAAATACTAAGGTCGATGTTGAGATACCGGGCCAACTTGGTTTTGCAGTGCCCCAAATACATTATCCAATTACGTTGGCTTCTTGTTGCCTTGGAGAATGAAGTTGCCAAAAATGATCCAAGGTGCAGCTTCTCAATTACATCTGACATGCTGGTAAAGGCGAGTAAAGCTCTTTTGATGACCTTGTTGGAAGACCGATCACTTTGGAGAATGGAGCCAGCAAAGAGTGTATTGATGATGCACCATTGAGGTTGGAGCATCATTGTCGTGGTACGAGCCAGGTCATATCAAACTTGTTAATCTTGAGGTAGACAGACTATGTCAAACACGAACTGATAATCGAGGTCATTGATGAAATCAACCTCAAAGTCATTCACAATTGTCCCAACTTGTTAGTTAGTGGGTGGGTTAGTTTAAGACCGAAACCAACCAACCCACTCATTACCCACCCCTATTGCGAAAAAAATCCCAAGTTACACATGTTTTAAAAAAAATATCAAAATACACATGTTATGAAAATAATTCACAATCTACGCATGTTTGGGCCTTCACCGCGGCAGAGGAGGGCGGTGATTGATTCACCGCGACAGAGGAAGGCGGTGATTGCATCACCGCATGAGAGAAGAATGGTGATTGCATTACCGCTGTAGAGGAAGGCGGTGATTGCATCACCGCTCTAGAGAAAGGCGGTGAAGGCCTGACCTGCGTCAAAACTTTAGAAAAACATAACTTTGTGCTCAGTTATCCAATTGTAGCGAAATTTTTTTTGATTCCGCATAATTTTTCGAGATCTTGCAAGCCGCAAACAGCCACAGGCGGTTTGGTCCCGCCTTCGTCTCGAAAAAAATGTCGTTTGCTACCCCAAACGAGCATTTTTCGATTTCGTCAAACTTTGAACGACCATAACTTTGTGCTCCACAATCCGAAAATCATGAACTTTTTTTTTATTTCGCATAACTTTTTAAGGACTACAATTTTTAGTAGGAGATAATTTTCAAAAAATGAATTATTTATGGATATAAGGGGTTTTGGGAATAACTTTACCTTCCCTTTTCAGGAATCCAAGTACATTCCGAAATTATGTCTATGATAAAAACTGTAGTTCTTAAAAATTTATGCGAAATCAAAAAAAATTCATGATTTTCGGATTGTGGAGCACAAAGTTATGGTTGTTCAAAGTTTGACGAAATCGAAAAAGGCTCGTTCGGGGTAGCAAACGACATTTTTTCGAGACGAAGGCGGGACCAAGTGGCCTGTTTTCGGCTTGCAAGATCTCGAAAAATTATGCGGGATCAAAAAAAATTTCGCTATGATCGGATAACCGAGCACAAAGTTACGTTTGTTTAAAGTTTCGACGCAGGTCAGGCCTTCACCGCGGCCGTGTAATGCGGTGAAGCATTCACCGCCTTCGTCGACAGCGGTGATGCAATCACCGTCTTTTTCTCATGCGGTGATGAAATCACCGTCTTCCTCTGCCGCGGTGAATCAATCAGCGCCCCCCTCTGGCGTGGTGAATACCCAAACATGCGTAGATTGGGAATTATTTTCATAACGTGTGTATTTTGAGATTTTTTTTTTAACATGTGTAACTTGGGATTTTTCCCCCTATTGCCCACTACCATACTAGCTGCTAAGCCTCCTCTTGAGTATTTTTCTCTCGTTCCTTCTAATCGCCATTGGAAAAAGGAAAATCGTACCAAAATAGTTCCAATGCAGTTATTGTTTTTGGCCTCGATAGACAAGCTCATCCAAAATCGTAATTAGGCATGATAAACAGTTATCATCTTATCTGTGTAACCGATAAATGAACCAGAACCGTGGTTAGCATTATACCGATAATCGTTTAAACAGTAAACAAACGATTTCCTGTAGCCAAATTTAACTAATTACTAACTGACAGTTATACGGTTAGTAATCGACTGTTAAACGGTTAACCAACTAATCGATTACGGTCATCATCATAGTTAAGGCCAAAAATAATATGCCTCGATGAGCCACGTGCATAGGCCAAAAATAATGAGATGTTTGAAGACCTACAAGATCGCTTATGTACCTTTGGTTGTAATAATGACTTAGGTTCAAATGAGAATAATTTCAAGTAAAGGCTTTAAAAGGAGCATAGTAGAAAGCTGGAGTTGCAGTGTTGCACACACTAGCTCGATAACAATCAGTAACATTTTTTATTCCATATAACTTGGTGGGAACTGAGACATATGATTTGAGTAACTGTTGTTGGGTCTCTTATTCTTGTGTGTGTGTTTTTTTATATCAAATTTGACAGTAGAATTGTGTTATTGTGTACTTGTGTTGGACGAGTTGCTTATGGGTTGATATCTATGTTAAATGATTTTTTATTCAATGATGATAACAACTTAAAAAAGAACACAACGTATGTAGGAGAAAATATACAAAAATGCACAGTTGAAAAAATTGAGCAGGTATTCCATTGGTTAGGTTATCGATCCATTATTTCGGTATAGTATTACCGAATCATTTGCTGAATGGTTGTTCGGTTAACCAACAAAATAACCGGAATTTGACTAAGCGATTACAGTTAACCGACTAATATAAACAATAAGGTTAACAATAAACACAAAGTAGTTAACAATTAATCGAAAACTGACTAAACAATTCCGGATATAATCGAAACGATTGTGAGCCTATTCGCAATCCACATATATATTGGAAAAATCGGAAAAAATCCCAAAGTACACACGTTCTTAAAAAAAATTCCCAAAATACATGAGTTATAAAAAAATTTCTCAAAGTACACATGTTTGAGCATCACCGTTTTTGTCTAAAACGGTGAAGGTCATCACCGCGTTTGACAAACACAGTGAGTACTTCACCGTTTTAAACTAAAACGGTGAAGGGTTCACCGCTTTTGTTAAAAACGGTGAAGTACTCACCGTTTTAATCTAACACGGTGATGCCTTCACCGTTTTAAACTAAAACGGTGAAGGCTTCACCGTTTTTATCGGCCGCGGTGAAGTTGCTGACGTGGACAGCACGGGGTATTCACCGCGTTAGACAAACACGGTGAATAACCCGTGTTTGTTTGCGTCAGCAATCCGCGCCAATGTGCTTTCACCGTGGCCGTTAGATGCGGTGAGACGCGGATCGTGGTTTTCTTCCCACGATCCGACGCCTCACAGCACGCCACGTCACCATTGCATTCACCGCGTTTGGTTAAAGCGGTGAGTTCACCGCGTTCATCAAACGCGGTGAATGGAGCCCTAATAACTGCGCAGCAGCTCCTCCCCCCCTTCCCCCAAACTATAAATACCTCCTTCCCCTTTCACTTTCAACTCACCCCACAAACATTTCACTTCTTTCTCCCTCAATTTATCCGCTCTAGTCTCGTTCTAAGTATCCTCTGTGGTTGCGGCTAAGTCCGATCTTCCACATCAGAAAGAATTACTAGAGTTTGACCCTAAAGCCCCCGTCCCGCTAAGTTCCCGTCCCTTACAAAGCTAAACCCGTCGAACCTCTGTCCGGCTTCCGCCAATAATGGACGAAGAGGCTCTTCGTGTAGGTTTTTGGTTTGTGATTTTTTTTTAATCGAAACAATTTGATTTATTTTTTATCAAAACAATCTCTGATTATATTACTTTTTTATAGATGGGTGCCGAGATATACGATCCTCGATTGTATATCCATTATGGCCCAAGGGATGCGAGTCTCTTAACCGATCAAGAAATGCATCGCTCCCGTGCCATTTGGGATAACAATCCGGTAATTTGATGAACTGACTTGCTTTATTTTATTATTTTCTAATGTTTTATTTTGCTTTATTTAATCTAATTAATTGATGTTTTCCTATTTTTTTTAGGAATCTCTTGTTCCCGTGGTTCATAAAGGGACCAATAACTTGCCCGCTTGGCATCCAAGGTTGGAGCCCTATATAGCGAGGACCGGTTTGGGAATGTTGCGCCATTTCTTGCGGATCGAGATCGACAACGAGCTGCTTACGGCAATGGCGGAACGATGGCGTCCCGAAACCCATACATTCCACCTTGCGGAGGGGGAAATGACGATCACCCTCAAAGACGTGGCGATCCTCACCGGGCTTCCTATATCTGGAGATGCCATCATTGGGAACACGACCAAACCCGGAGGAGGTTGGGGGCCGCTCATCCGTGATCGTTTGGGCTTCGACATGCCGACCACCACACCAAATCAAGGACGGGGGCATCCACCGTTGAATGCGGGGCAAGTGTCGGTCCCGTGGCTGGTATCTCACATCCAGCAAGAGGTGGAAATCAATGACGAGACACCGGAAGAACAAGTCGAGCGCTACGCCCGCATCTACCTCATCGGTTTGGTGGGTGGATTTTTGTTCCCCGACAAGTCCAACCGGTGGATTCAAGGCATATGGTTGCCATTGCTCACCGGTGACTGGGATGCAATTGGAGAGACCTTGTTGGGGATCGGCCGTGCTAGCGGGCGTATACCGGGAGCTGTGTACTTGCTCGAGGGTTGGGGCAAAGCAAGCTGGTGCTGCGATGTTCATCGTTCAACTGTGGGTATGGGAGCATCTTCCAATGTTCGCACCTCTCAACCCACGTCCATACCGGAGAAACGATGATGAGCTCAACCTTCTGCAAAATCTCCCCTACGGTGTCAAGTAAGTTTATTCCGTACTTAGCCCAATTTAAATTTTATTACATGCTTGAGCTAGATTTAAATTGAATTTATTCCGTACTTAGCCCAATTTAAATTTTATTACATGCTTGAGCTAGATTTAAATTGAATTTATTCCGTACTTAGCCCAATTTAACTTTTTATTACATGCTTGAGCTAGATTTAAATTGAATTTATTCCGTACTTAGCCCAATTTAACTTTTGATTACATGCTTCAGCTAGATTTAAATTGTCTGCACTTCCGTACTTAGCCCAATTTAATTTTTATTACATGCTTAACTAGATTTAAATTGAATTTAAATTGATT